CAATCCCAGAAGCAAAATATATATTTAAAAATTAAGGTTTGACTGATTAAATAGTTCTGATACAAATAAACGATAGGATCACATCTAAAGGTCTTGTAATATTTTCCTTAACGCCTGCGCAAAATATTTCAAACTTTCAATTTTTTCACAAAAACTGTCCATGTTTTCCAATCGATTTTGATAACTTTTACAAGATTCATTATAAGTCAAAATTTAAGTCATTATAGTCACACCACATGTTTCTACAATTAATTTAGGACATTTCAAAGATTTTTTAAACCTAAAATCTCTCTTAAGGCCTCACTATTAGTTTATATTATTTTTTCATTTTTTTTTTCAATTTTAAAAATCAATAAAAAGTAGTTCCAAGACTTAATAAACAATAGGATCACATCCAAAGATCTTGAAACATTTTCCTTAACTCCCACGCGAAACAAGGCGAGCTCGGCGCACGAAAATTTGGCTCGCAAGATGAGGCAGGCTCGACACATGAAAAACGAGATGTGCTTCGTGCACGCAAAACGAGGTGAGATCAACGCACGAAAATACTTGGCACGTAAAACGAGACGGCCTAACGCATTCAAAACAATGCAATCCCAGATGCATAGGTCAACCATTGTTACTCGCACAAAGCATTGGTGTTAGAGCTGGAGCATATATAAGTCATTATCAATATAGGGTAGGATTTAGTTTTAATCTCACGGGTTAACCATTGTTTCCCGTATGAACGAATTGTGAGATCAACGCACGGAAAAACGAGACGTGATTCGTGCATGTAAAACGAGGTGAGATTAACGCATAAAAATACTTGACATGCAAAACGAGGCAACCTACGCATGCAAAACAATGCAATCCTAGGTGCATATGGCAACCATTGTTGCTCGCATGAAGCATTGGTGTCAGAGGTAGAGCATATATAAGCCGCTATCAATATAGGGTAGGGTTTATTTTTAATCTCACAGGTCAACCATTGTTTCTCGTACGAACCAATTGTGTTTGGGGTAGGGCATTTATATGAGTAATGAGGTATGGTTTAGTTTTAATCCCACATGTAAGCCATGGTTTGTCGTAAGAACCATAGGTGGCGGGTAGGGCATTTAGGGGATAGGTTTAGTTTTAATCTCATGGCTTGATCGCAGTTGCTCGCATGAAGCATTGGTGTAGAGGGTGGGCATTTATAGGTTGTTATTAATATAGAGTAGGGTTTAGTTTTAATCTCAATAGTCAACCATGGTTGGTAGGATGAAGTATGATTGCCAAGGTTGTGGCATTTGTAAGCTACTATCAACCATGATATAATTCACACTAAAATCGTAACTTTTAATTCAGTAACCCCTTTCTTTAAAAAAAAACATTTCTCCGCCACGTTGCTGCGAGGGAAAAGAATTCAAGTGCGCTAGGCACTAAAACACGTTGAACTCAGGGTGTTATTATTCACACGCCTCTAAACACTTGAACTCAAGGTGTTACTATCCACACACAGCTAAACCTCATACCTCATGGGCCTCCACTGCTTTTGATGCGCCTTAGGCCTTCCAGAGGGCATGAGTTTGGGCTTGGGCGTGAGTTTGGGTTGCGTCTCCCTGCGCCTAAACCATTTATTTTATTTTATTTAAGTTTTTGTTTTTCCCATACCACAACACCAAACTATCATCTTCATGTTCTACAAAATGTGTTTTCGATGAATTTTTTTTTTATAATCCATGTCAAAAAATCTGAAAACAAGGATATAAATCTTAATGTAAAGGAATTTCAATCTAAATAAAGTAATGTAGGAATTAAAAAATATTCAACGGAAAAAGAAAAGAAAAGGATACGATCGGTATTTTTGTACTGATCCTCCTCAATAGGAGTTGCTACTACGTTAGCACGTTAGCAACTATTTTCAAGATTGAGTCGCTAGTTTCATACCGATCCACCCATTTTTTTTTTCTTTTTCAGTAATTTTGTACATTTTGACAAAATGACAATCATATCCCTATTTTACCCTCTTTTTTTTTTTTGAGAAAATGACAATCATATACTTATTTTTTCAATTTTACCCTTACTTTTGATACATAATATTTACATGAGGACAAAACAGTAATTATGAATGTTAAAAAAATATGAACTTATTAAGAGAAATTGTTCACAAATACAAAACACACACAAAGTGTGTGCTCTCTGCTTTACTTTTGTTAAAGTGAATAACACGTGTCAAATAAATAGAAATGAGACACAGAAGGAGACACCATTTAGGGACAGCAGATCCTTGACCGTTTGTCACTCACCATATCAAAATTAGCATACACGTGTCATTAAATTTGTTTTTTTTTTTTATAAATTAGGGAACCTATCAATATTTTGCCACCTGTAGGAGCTTGTGTATTTTGGCAATGGTGAAAAGATGTACAATAATTTAGGTTTGTTGATGAGTATGGCCCAACATAAAAATTGGACATACGATGTGAATTGAATTTTGCACAATTAAGGCGTGACAAGTGGCACTTGGTGCGATGGTAAGTGCCTTCGCCCATGAGCGGTAGGTCTCGAGTTCGAGACTTGGGAGCAGCCTCTCCATAAATGGGGGTAAGACTAGCCGACATTCACCTCTCCCAGACCCTGCGTAAAGCGGGAGCCTTGTGAACTGGGTACGACCTTTTAAGGCGTGACAAGTGGCAATGGCGACGGCCGCATGATGTGCAGCAATTGTGCATGCCTCGTGATTTATTACCATCAACAATTCCACCAAGAGGTGGATAAATTGTTTATTGTGCTCGAAATACGACTGACACATCATATGTTTTTATATAAGTGGAGGAGAGTTTTAATTTTATGTTGTTAATCTTTTGACACAAGTATCTCACTATTTATAAAGTGAGTACCATCCCATGTTCTAAATGCACTGAAAAGTCTTATTAACAGGTAGGACGCGAGCCCAACATCGACGTAGAATTGAGGGAAGAGGATCCTCTTTATAGAGATCCTATGGATTCTCATATTATAACCGTTCATCATACATCGTGCGGTCAATTTTCGTCAAGTACTATTTGTATTTAATTTTAAATTAAAAAAAGTTTAAATGATTTATAACCGCATGATGTACGCGTGTGTTCCATTTTTACCTTTAGAATTTGTGCGTCCTAACACCTAAGCATGTGACTCTTTTTGTCTGCCGGACGAGGACTCGGTAGGGTCGACTGCACCAAGGTGACTCCTGAACTGCCCATTATTGCTTCAAGAAACTTGAAATTTAAGTTTAGAATTTATTTATTATACATATGTAACGTTAGTGAGTTAGAGAAATAGTTAAATTTTAATTAACCATCAAATGCGCTTTATATTTCACTATTATAAAAAGACAAGAGTTAGAGAAATAGTTGAATTTTAATTAACCATCAAATGCGCATTATATTTCACCATTATAAAAAGACAAGAGTTAGAGAAATAGTTGAATTTTAATTAACCATCAAATGCGCTTTATAATTCACCATTATAAAAAGACAAGAGTTTACAGCTCGTCACATATTCAAACTAACCAAATTTTTAACCGGTAATTTTTTTAGCATTGTTATAACGCTTGTACCTGGATTAAGTATGTTATGGAACATTGCCAATTAGTTTTTAGGGTATACCCGGTATAGTTGCTCACATTCTAACGTCGAAGAGTAATGTTATCAAAATCGCTTATAACAACATTGGCAAAAATATAAAAGCATCTCCAATGGGAATCCTAAATGGAGTTCCTACTACAATATAGTCCTTACATTTAGAGACAAAAGACTACCAATGAGTCATAATAGAAGTCTTCAAAGTATCTCAATATATGAACTCGACGAATACCTTAAAGAAATCCTCAAATGAGAGGACTATATGTATAGACCTAAAGAGTAGGCCTACTGTTAATTTCAAGATGCCTTATCTTTTCGGAATTTTACTCTTTTTGAGAATGCTATACAATAGCTTCTTTTTTTAGTTTTTTGTTTTTTTCTGTAGTTTTTCTCTTCCAAACATAGATATAACTTTTTGGTTTTTATCAACGAACACAATACTCCAACGAAATATTCTCTCAAAGTTATCCAGAAGCTAGAAGACAAAGGTGATGACTATGCACGGTTCTAACTTTCTAACTTTTGTTTGACCAAAGGAAGAAGGGACTCAAGAAAGCAGAATCACAGTCAGCCACGTGTGAGGGCAAAGATCGTGACCGATCTTCATGTAACCTTACGTTACGTTGCCTTCATTCCCTACAGGCTTCAGACCACATCGAAAACAAACGCCAACAGGAGTCCCCGATAATGACATCAATTTATATCGTATTGGTACACCGTTATTCTAGTTTATCCGAATTGAAAAGATTATTTTCAGATCTCTTCCAACAAATTCATAAAGATTACAAATTCAGATATTTGAAATTTGATCAAACGGCTATAAACAATGGTTCACTTTAAAAATTATAATAACATTAACCGTTGGATCAAATTTTAAATGCTCGGATTTGTGGATTTGGTGGAAGGGATCCGGATCCCTTTCCTATCCGAATACCGTCACATTTCGTTACAAAGGGATCCTTTACAGATCCCTTCCACCAAATCCACAAAGACTATAAATTTAGACATTTGAAATTTGATCAAACGACTATAAACAGAGGTTCATTTTAAAAGTTATAATAATTTTAACCGTTAAATAAAATTTCAAAAGTCTGGATTTGTAGCCTTGGTAGAATTGGTGGAAGGGATTTGAAATCCCTTTCCTATCTAAATACCGTCACGTTTCATTACAGTTCTATTTCAATTTTAACACAATTATTTATTTTACAATTTACCAATGAATTTTAAATTTGAGACATAATCAATTTGTAAATCATTAAATGATAACATCACGTTACGATTGATCAAATTGTACCCGTGGTTCGCGTCCTATTTTATCTACTACAATATATTCGTTTCTCTCTCTCTCTCTCTCTCTCTGTCCCATTGCTTATTAAAGCGGCAAAGCTAACAACTAGTGCTCATACAAAGTTCACTTATTATTTTTGTTATCTCTCTCTCTCTCCACTCTCTTTCTCTCTCTGGATTTTGAGCTGAAAACCAAACAAGCAGCCACAAGCATGAGATCTCCGCAGAGACTGCAATGGAAGTAAGGAACTCTCTGAAACACAACTTCTAGGGTTTTCTGAAATTCCACCCACCTAGTTTTCTAGCTGTATACAAAGTTTGCCATTTTTGCTCCAATTTATATCAACCTTTTTCTTGTTTTATATTCATTTTTATTATATATATAAAGGTAAAATTCAATATATATTTTAATAAAAAGCAATAATATTTGAAATAAATAAACTTTTAAAAAACAAAAAATAACAGTAAAACAGTGAAAAAAGGCAATTGCCACACGCAAGAGGCTAGCTTTATGAAACAAATAATCAGTGGGATAAATATGGAGCTTAAAGATGCAAACTTTGTGCACCCACTTTGTTGCTCTGGGTAAGCAAGTTCCTATGTGTTGCTCAAGTTTTGATCTTTGAGCTCCTCCTCCAATGGGGTTTTGTCGATTTCGGGTAGATTTGTGTTAATTGTCTTGACGCTCCGTTGGCGTAGAAATTGGTGCAAAATTTCGCTTTCATAGGTGATAACGTCTGCTTAGTTTTGGGAAGTTGGTGCGACTTGTTTGGTTGTTTTGTTGGTGATTTTCCCGGAAAGTGAAAGGGAAATGTGGGTGGAAATTTGAGTGAGGAGTGAGGAAGGAAAAATAGTCACTCACCTGTGAAGTAAAGTAAGGTAAGACTGCGTACGATAGACGACATCTCCGATCCTCGCAAAGCAGGAGCCTTGTTGGCTTGGGGTCACCTGAGAAAATGCCGGAAGGGCGGAGGAGGAGGGGAGGGATCCAGTTTAGCAAACTGTACTCGTTTTCGTGTTTCCGCTCTCCTCTCCCTGAAAGTCATCCCCAAATCGGTGAAAGAGGGTACTCGAGGGTGGTGCATTGCAATGATCCGGATCATCTGGAGGCACTTGAGTTGAGATACAGGGGAAATTATGTTTCGACTACCAAGTACACGGCGGCGAACTTCATTCCGAAGTCTTTGTTTGAGCAGTTTAGGAGGGTTGCAAATATATATTTTCTTGTTGTAGCTTGTGTTTCGTTCAGTCCGTTGGCCCCCTTTAGAGCTGTTAGTGTAGCTGTGCCGTTGATAGTGGTGATCGGAGCTACTATGGCTAAGGAAGCCGTTGAAGATTGGCGGCGAAGAAAGCAGGTAAACATTTTTGCGGTATTGGTATTACTAGTTATTTGAAGTTGTATAGTCAATGTTTGAATAAGGGCTCGTTTAGGAACTGCTTTTAAATGACTGAAAGCGCTTTTACAGATTATCTGTAAAGAACGTAGAGTGTAGTTGCATTTGAATTGTGCTATAGCTTAAGCTTGTCCATTAACGATATGCAGGGAAGGTTTAGAATATGTAGTCATTTTGGTTGTTGTAGGAGCAATGCTTTTAGGAAGTAGCTCGAAATTAATATTTTGGTTGTTTTTTTTAATTTGTTTCTCCTAATTGAATTGGCTATAAATTCGAGACTGTTTCAGGATATTGAGGCAAACAGTCGAAAGGTTAGAGTTTATGGTAGGAATTGTACATTCTACAAGACCAGATGGAAGAAACTCCGGGTTGGTGATGTTGTGAAGGTGCACAAGGATGAGTACTTTCCTGCGGATCTGCTTTTGCTTTCGTCAAGCTATGAGGATGGGATTTGCTATGTTGATACCATGAACCTTGATGGAGAAACTAATTTAAAATTGAAGCATGCATTGGAGGTGACATCCCATCTTCAAGATGAAGATTCCTTGGAAAAATTTAAAGCGGTGATCAAGTGTGAGGACCCAAATGAAAATCTGTATTCATTTGTTGGGACATTGGTCTATGATGGAAAGCCTTACTCACTTTCCTTACAACAGATGCTCTTAAGAGATTCTAAGCTGAAAAACACTGAATATGTCTATGGTGTCGTCGTCTTTACTGGTCATGACACAAAAGTGATGCAGAATGCAACAGATCCTCCTTCAAAGAGAAGTAAAATCGAGAGGAAAATGGATAAGATAATCTACGTTCTTTTCAGTTCTCTGGTCGTGATAGCCTTTACTGGATCTCTCTTTTTTGGAATCAACACTAGATGGGATATAAGTGGTGGAAATATAAGAAGGTGGTATCTTCGTCCAGATCATTCAACCGTGTTTTATGACCCCAAAAGACCAGCACTTGCGGCTTTTTTCCATTTCTTGACAGCGCTTATGTTGTATGGATATTTAATACCAATATCTTTATATGTATCCATTGAGATTGTGAAGGTATTACAGAGTATTTTCATTAACCAAGACCGGGATATGTATTATGAGGAAATGGATAGGGCGGCTCATGCACGCACGTCTAACCTGAATGAGGAACTTGGCCAGGTTGATATGATACTTTCTGACAAAACAGGTACACTGACATGTAATTCCATGGAGTTCATTAAATGTTCGATAGCAGGCACTGCTTATGGCCATGGTGTGACAGAAGTGGAGAGGGCGCTGGCAAACAGAAAGGACGGAATCGATGGACTGCCTGAAACTGGTGATATATTAGATCATGCTAGTTATAATGTTGACTCTGGAAAGTCAATAAAGGGTTTCAACTTTAGAGACGTACGCATCATGAATGGGCAGTGGGTCAATGAACCTCATTCGGATATCATACAGAAATTCCTTCGGGTTTTAGCAATCTGTCATACAGCCATCCCAGTTGTGGATAAAGCATCAGGAGAAATAACCTATGAAGCTGAGTCACCAGATGAAGCAGCTTTTGTCATAGCTGCCAGGGAGCTTGGGTCTGAGTTTTTTGAAAGGACACAAACAAGCATATCATTGCATGAGTTGGATTCTGAAAGTGGGAGAAAGGTTGATAGGTGAGTTCCATTCATACTTTGACCTGTTTATTTTTACACTCAGTCTCCTTATATTGTTTACGTGGCTGGGAAGCCATAACGGTTACTGTTAATAGCTTCTGACACATATATTTATCCCAGGGAATATGAGCTTCTTCACGTCTTGGAGTTCAGCAGTTCTCGCAAAAGAATGTCAGTAATTGTAAGGAGTCCGGAAAATAAATTACTGCTCCTTTGCAAGGGTGCAGACAGGTTAGACTCTTGAGTGGTCATGCTTAAGGTCCATGTTTGAAGGTGCAAGTTGGGTTTTTGTAATTCCATGATTTTCATTTATCTGTACATATTCAGTGCAATTTTGGAAAGGCTTGCAAAAGATGGGTGGCAGTTTGAGGATCAGACCAAGGAGCACATTCATAGATATGCTGAAGCAGGTTTACGAACCTTGGTGATTGCATGCCGTGAGCTTGGTGTAGAAGAATTTGAAATATGGGAAAAGGAGTTTGTGAAGGCCAAAGCTTCTGTCACCGAAAGTCGAGATGTACTGGTGGACGGAGTTGCTGACAAGATTGAAAGGGACTTATTTCTACTTGGTGTGACAGCTGTTGAAGACAAACTGCAAACGGGGGTGAGTATTGAATTTTGATGGTTTTTTGTCATAAGTCCTTTCACTTGAATTAGGTTACTGGGGATTATTGTTATTTCGTCCTCCCTTGAATTTGGAGACTTGTACAGTTTGATAATTATGTGAAATGGAAGTTCACATCAAGAAACAAAAAACTAGAGCCCAATTTTTATTGAGAAGGGTTTGTTTGTGTTCATGGAAAATTAATTCCGTACAGATATTGTTCTCGGGATGCAGGTTCCTGAATGTATTAGGAAGCTTGCCCAAGCTGGGATTAAGATATGGGTATTGACGGGGGATAAAATGGAAACTGCAGTTAACATTGGGTATGCTAGCAGTTTTTGTGCTTTGATTTTATTTTTCTAATACTTCAATTTTTACACTTGGATTATATTTTTCTGCAAGTTACAGATTACAAGTATTGTAAATTTTACAGGTATGCTTGCAGTCTACTTAGACAAGATATGAAACGGATTGTCATCAGTCTCGATTCGCCTGACATAAATGCTTTGGAGAAACAAGGGGATAAAGAGGCAGTTGAAAAGGTAGAGAATCCTAAAGAAAAAAACCAAGATTGTTTTTTCCTTGCTTTTTTCTTTTTGTGTGATGTAATTTCTGAAACCTTGATTTTTTTAAGGCTTCTCTTGCAAGCATAAGGAAGCAAATTAGAGAAGGTATTTCGCAAATTAATGAAGCTAAAGAAAGTTCGAACCAAGCTAAATCGTTTGGCTTGATAATTGATGGGAAGTCCTTGGAATTTTGTCTCAAGAAGGATGTCGAAAAATCGTTCTTGGAGCTTGCAATTACTTGTGCTTCTGTTATATGCTGCCGCTCTACGCCCAAACAGAAAGCTCTTGTAAGTATCTCAATCATGCTCATGAGCATATCCATTCAAAAAATCTAAAGTTATTCGTAAGGCCAGTTGCTGACATCAAATAATCTGATAGAACTACGAAATATGTGCAGGTTACGCGATTGGTAAAACTCGGAACAGGTAAAATAACACTGTCTGTTGGTGACGGTGCAAATGACGTTGGCATGCTTCAAGAAGCTGATATTGGAGTTGGCATTAGTGGTGTTGAAGGGATGCAGGTAATTTTATTTTCTCTTTGTGATGATCTGATTATTACGGGGTTTTTACGAATTTCAAGATACAAACTCGGAATTACCAAATCAGTGTACTTTTGAAAGTGAGAATAGAGCATGCATTTGTCTACAACACTATTTACCAGCAATTGTTTGTTTTCGGTGATCGACTCCTCTCAGACATATAACTTGCATATTTTATACTTAAGACTCTTCTGATTCCATTTAATTCGTGAATGCAGGCGGTGATGGCAAGTGATTTTGCAATAGCTCAATTTCGTTTTCTGGAGCGTCTCTTGCTTGTTCATGGGCACTGGTGTTATAGGCGCATATCAATGATGGTAAAATATCTCCTCTAATTGTCACAAAAAAAAAATTTGAAAAAGAAAGAGAGCAAGAGATTTCATACCCAGTTGACATTTGGTTGATGCAGATATGCTACTTCTTCTACAAGAACCTTACATTTGGGTTTACTCTGTTTTGGTTTGAGGCCCATGCTTCTTTCTCTGGTCAACCTGCTTACAACGATTGGTACATGTCATTCTACAATGTCTTCTTCACATCGCTTCCCGTAATTGCTCTTGGCGTTTTTGATCAGGATGTTTCAGCACGGCTATGCCTCAAGGTATACAATTTATCTCTCTTGTAGAGCTTATATAGGATATTCAGGGTGAGTGGTAATTGACTACAAAATCCCGATATACACTCCATGTTACTGCTATGATGTTCAATTGGTAAACATCAACTCTAGTAGCATGTGCTTTAATCGATCAGCAAGAACCAAAAGGCATATACTTATCTTCATGGCTCGTCACAATTCTTATTTATTTCCGTCTTTTTGGAATGGATTTTTACCGATCATGCTCTTGTTCTGTTGACAGTATCCCTCTTTATATCTAGAGGGAGTGGAGAATATCCTCTTCAGTTGGACCCGGATACTTGGTTGGATGCTTAACGGTGTTTTGAGCTCCATAATTATCTTCTTCTTCACCACCAACTCCATGATTGGCCAAGCACTCCAAACAGACGGTAAAGTAGTAGACTATGAAGTCCTCGGGGTCACAATGTACTCGTGTGTAGTTTGGGTTGTCAATTGCCAAATGGCACTCTCCATCAACTACTTCACTTGGATCCAGCACTTCTTCATCTGGGGCAGTATCGCCTTCTGGTATGTATTCTTAGTGATCTACGGCTCTGTCTCACCGAGTGTATCCACAACCGCACACAAAGTTCTAGTTGAAGCCTGTGCTCCCAGTCCTCTGTATTGGATGGTCACCCTTCTCGTTACCATGTGCACTTTGATGCCATATTTCTCGTACAGGGCTTTCCAGACACGGTTCAAACCAATGTGTCACGATGTAATACAACAGAAACGATTAAATGGCTCAGACAAGGAGACTTCCGGCGAATTGCCTCTGAGAGTCAGTAGCAAACTGCAGCACCTGAAGCATAGATTGAGGGAAAGAGAGCTGTGAAGCGCGGTCCCGGTATCGGACTTGTGTATGTGTAATCAGGGGATGGTTTGGTTTTGTGAATATGTTGTAGATTCAGGACTTTGTAGGTTTTAGCCGTGTAAAGCTGATATGTATATCATCAAATTATCAAACAAAAAGGAAAATCCCAGTGTGGCAAAAGCTTAAAGTGAGTGGAATCAAAATTAAGAGTTGAATTTCAATTACGGAGTATATAAAAGTAACGGGCGACGTAAAATAAGAAATTCAATTTATGACTCCTAATTATGGGAGAAATAAACCTTTCAACTTATAATGCATTTTAATAATCAAACTGGTTTTCATTATGATTCAGATGAATTAGTAACAACATATGGAACCAGTGTCATTTATACTTCGATTTTCATGACGATTCAAATTTCAACTCCTGGTCGATTCAATTTCTTCAATTTCGGTTGTGAATTACTAAACATGTCAAAATGTCTTTCTAGACTGTTTTTAGCTACAACATTTTGCACGATGAACATGAGGAGCTTTATCATCATGCTACAACGAGTGAAAGCGGAACGATTTTTCGATATTAAGATAAAAGGGAACGATCTTCGTTTCAGGCATCAATCAATCACATGCCACTCTGTCATTGTCTGATTTTTGGTTAGAACTTTGAACATCGCCACCGGCGCCATAGTTGCAGCCATTAAAAGTAGATTAAAGCCAGCAATCGCAGCCTATGGATTGGAATGTTGCAATATGAATTAATAACTAATAATACCATAATTAAAATGACAGCCGTTATGCACATAGAAATATTTGATATAAATGCATGGTGATTACTGCAAATCTTATCCCACTAATTTAACCACCCACTAGTTTGTTTTGTAGATCAGCATCAACAGTAAGAAGAGAAGAGATTCTCGGATTTCTTCCACCAAGGTCATTGAATCAAGTGATTCGGGTATTTGAAATTTTATCCAACGGCCCATTTGTTTTGATCCCTTAAAAGCTATAATAAATTTTGGCCGTTTGATGAAATTTCAAATGCCCGAATCACTTGATCCAGTGGCCTTGATAGAAGATCCGAAGAGGATCACTTCTCCATTAAGAAATAAAGATATTGATTAAGCAAAGGTAAAAGTTTAATCCACGTGGGTAAATTACATTATATACTAATTTAAGGATTAACAATAATCCCTGCTTAAGCCATTAGGAATAGCCTAGTGGTGAGGGTGTGGGTAAGGGGTGGGGTAGTTCTAGGTCCCAGGTTCGAAACCTGGTGTGTGTGTTTGTGTTTGTATTTGTGTGGGTGGTGGAGGGTAACCAAAAAATAAAAAAAAAAATAAAAAATCCCTGCTTTTTTTTTGGAAACTTATTCAGAAGCCCCAAAGTGCTAGTCTGGAAAGAGGAGAAGTCAATGTGCTTTTGCTGTTGCCATGTACTTTTTAAATAATCACGTTTCACGAACTGAACACAATCTCTTTTTTCTATACATTTTTGGCAAATGGGTTGTTGCGGCCGCACTGGGAGGATCTTTCCAAAACTTTATTTTAACCGATTTTAAGATTATTTTGGAGGCCTCATGGGTAGCTGCGTTTTTTCCTTAAAAGACCGAGGAGACTTTGACATTCAAAGCGTTTTTCATGCGTGCCTAGAAGCAAATACAATATTTACATATCACTTACTACTACGGTTTAGTATTATTCATTTTCACTTGTAAATGACAATCATAACATATACATCAATTTGAAGCGCACATATGAAAACTTTGTTACGACTTCTTCTTCTTTAAATTTTCAAAATAATAAGACTCGATGGATTTTTCGCCACGTAATATTTCATTTGTATAATACTTGCTCGAACCGAATGAAGGTGTCATATAATGGCAAAGGATCTTTGTGATCGGTGTGTATAAGCCCTTCACACACCACAAACGTATGCACAAACGTATTTATAAATAATATATAGTGTGCTGACGTATGTATGTACGTATGTTTGGGATGCTTAATTAATTGAATTGATAAAAAATTACTTAATTAAAAAAATAATTTATACATAAACACTCAAAAGTCCAACTGCTGGTTGGCATTTTCGTCCTATACATACATATATATAGGAAGCGCATTTAAGAGAAGGGATTCATATTTTTCAAAAAAAATGAGAATCCCTTCATTTAAAGATCTATATATATATATATATTATTCATCACGTAACTCGCACTTGGCATGTATTTGTGACTTCTTGTGCTTCAAGGGAAACAAGCTTAACTGTCCCATTAATTAATTGGCTTCTCTGTCAATTATCTACGGCCACGCTGTTTTTCCTTCTAGAAGCCCACGTGCCCCCAAGAGGGTTGCATCGGAGATTCGTATTTCAGATTCTAGGACATCAAAATAAGTGAATTACCACTGCCTAAATTGAGGATAAGATATTCAAATTTGAGTGTATAAAAAGAAGAGAAATGTTAAAGAAATTTTTTCGAAGTGAAATTCTCAATACCCTCTCTGCCACTTTTTGGCATAAGTTTCGTATTGTCATCACAAAAATTCATGTTAAACCGTGAATTACAGAGAATTCACGTAGAGTTTTACTTTGAGAGAATTTTCTTTAAATATTTATACATTTCTATTCAAAGTACAAAAAAAAAAAAAAAGTCAAAACACAATCTCAAGTTAAACGAAAATTTTACAAACATCTCATGAAAATTTATTTGATTAATTTTTTTTTTGTGCGATTAAAAGTAAAATTAAATTCTCATGAAAAATATCAAGTTTGTAATAAGTTTACCTATTTCTTTTTGAGAATCTTAATGAAACACTCATAGTACTGTTTACTTTTAACGTTAAAGACATTTTTACCTTGAAAAGTCACTCCTGATACTATTTATTTATACATTTATTTTATCTTTTTGGTTTAAAACTAGAGTTTTTGAAAACTTTTCGTTAGCTTTTTTTTTTTTTTTTTTTCGGTTAAGGACTGGTTTGGTATTGCTGTGCTTTGAAAAAAAACTGCTTCTGCTGTGCTGTGAGAATAAGCTCATTTTTGCTGCTTCACGTTTTCAACTTTTTTTCACCCAAAACTGTGAAAATAATTGTTTTTAAGTGTTTAACAAACACCTTTTTGAGCTTAGTTTTTTTTTATACTCACTTTTTATAAAAACACCTTAGTATCAAACCATTACTAAGCATCATGAATCACCAACCTAAGTACTGATTTGGTACTGATGTGCTTTTATAAAAAGTGGATATAAAAAAAAGCTGAGCTCAAAAAGGTGTTTGGTACACACTTAAAAACAACTTATTTTCACAGTTTTGGATGAAAAAAAGCTGAAAATGTGAAGCAGCAAAAATGAGCTTATTCTCACAGCGCAGCAGAAACAATTTTTTTTTCAAAGCACAGCAATACCAAACCAGTCCTTAACCGAAAAAAAAAAAAAAAAAAAGCTAACGAAAAGTTTTCAAAAACTCTAGTTTTAAACCAAAAAGATAAAATAAATGTATAAATAAATAGTATCAGGAGTGACTTTTCAAGGTAAAAATGTCTTTAACGTTAAAAATAAACAGTACTATGAGTGTTTCATTAAGATTCTAAAAAAGAAATAGGTAAACTTAGTACAAACTAATTGTGATGATTTCTTTCCATTTGTCTCTTTATGTGTACGGATGCTGTGCCTTTTGATGCTCCATCTTGCCACCGCGTGTCTGAACGCGGACACTTGCAGGAGGCACACATGCTGATGTGGATACAATTAAGAACGTAGTGTGTACATAAGGAAAGTTAACCAAAGTATCTCCCGCCTTTTAACTCAACACGCTCTCAACTCATCGCCAAGACGCAATAAATAGGAAAAACACAATACTGAAAGCAGCCGAAAGTGTCAATCACATATCACCGTCACACACTTACGTGATATATTATTTTACATGTTGCAATACAAATAAATAATTAATATGTATATTTTTTAGGTTTAAACTTTCAATACATAAAAAAAGCCTACACATGTTAGATTTTTGAGGTTTTTTAACTTTAATCCTTAAGAAGATAGAAATTTAAAATAAATATGGTGTTAGGTTACATATTAATTATAATCCCTTGATGTGTCCTTAATTCAAAATAATTAATGTGCATTTTATTTAATGTTTCCCATTCAATATTTAAATTTATTAATAACAAATTTTAATTTATTTTTTTACCAAAAAAAGAGTTTTTTAATTTATTAATTTAATTTAACATTCTTCAAACTTGAAAAACTCAATTAATGTACCTAAATGTGTGTACCAAAATGTGTGTACATATATATATATATATATATTATTGAATTAATGTATTTAAATATTAGTATCGAAATATATGCACCGAAATGTATTATATTAAATTAATGTACCTAAATGTGTGTAACGAAATGTATACACCGAAATATTAGTACCGAAATGTATCATATTGAATTAATGTGCCTAAATGTTTGTATCGTAATGTACGTACCGAAATGTGTGTACCTAAATATATTATAATGAATTTAATGTACCTAAATGAAGAAGACAAGGTACATCAAAATATATTGTATAACAAAAATTAGTTTATCTAAATGTTTATAACAAAATATATTACGATAAATGAAATGAAAATGAAAATTATAATAAAACAAAATTAATACATTAAAAATTAGGAAGAAAAAAGAAATAATAAAAAAATCAAACTATAATTAATAAATGAGGTTACTAATGTATTAAGGGACTAAAATTAAATTTTGATCATACTCATAATTTTAATCTAAAAGTCATATTTGCTAAGAATTAAAATGAAATTTTCTATTAATTTTTTGCATCTTATGATTTGTTACGAAGATGAGTTTACTAAGGGAATTGTTACTAGCAATCCAAAAATTTCATTATACACTACAAACTTTTTATATTAGGAAAGAAAAATACACTGGTAATGAGTGTAGAATGAAACTTTTAGAGTGCCAATAACACTTCTCTTACTAAAAGCAAAACTATTTTTATTAGCAGAATCGCTAGTACACGTAGATTTTATTATTGCGAATAGAATGGATGGAACATGATATGATGACATTTACGCTGAAAAACTTATCTTCGAAGCTTCCACCAATTATATCACACCATTAATTAATAATTAAGTATGGCAAACTTGCTTTTTTTATCTTCCAACTTAACACGGTCCTATATAAAAGCATAGAGCCATGGAGGGAAACCCAATCGCCACAACCACTAATCCTCAAACACACCAAAAACGTCCAGAAACAAAATCCTACGAGGAGAAAATATGCAAAACGATGACGATTTCGAACAGGGATTCGTCTCTCCCAGCTTCAACAGCTACTCCACCGACAAACTAGCGGATGTCGCCGCCAAGGTCTGTCGGGAATTCGACCACCTCAATTTGCTCGAAGATTCGGAGTCCGATCAGTTGGGGGACCATAAAAACGACAATGAATCCGCCGCCGACGAGGAGGAGGAGGAGTTCGAATTCGTGTCGTTTCAGAAATCCGCCGACCAGGTTTTCTTCGACGAACACCAGATCGGCCCCGTTTTCCCCGTATTTAACCGCGACCTCCTGTCGGATAAAAGTCAACGCGATCTCCTCGCCGGCGGTCGGGATGGTAAAAAGGTGGAGGAGGACGATGATGGTCTGCCGTCGTCGTCGTCATCCGACGTGGACGAGCTGGACGAGGTCCCACCGGGGAATTACTGCGTGTGGATGTCGAAAGCCGCGTCGGGAGAAGCGCGTGGGAAGTGCAAGAAGAGCAAATCCACGGGAACTTCGTCGTCAAGGAGGTGGAGCCTCCGGGATTTGCTGCGGCGGAGCAACAGCGAAGGCGGCAAGGAGTTGGTTTTCTTGACGCCTTTGTCGTCCAGCTCCAAAAAAGTAGAAGACAACAAGGAACCCAAAAAGAGCTCCCGGTCGGCGTCTGGGTCTGATGTGCCCAGGAAAAAGCCCAGTAAAGGTCCAACGCGGTGTCGATGGCTCACGAGGCGTTCTATGTGAGGAACAAGACGGTGGCGAAGGACGGGTACAATAAGCGGCGGTCGTATCTTCCGTACAGGCAGGACCTGGTGGGGTTCTTTGCTAGTGTGAACGCCATGGGCAAAAGCTTTCCCCCTGCTCTCTGAAAATCTAATAGGAATTTAACTATTATTTAACTAAATTTTGTTTTTGTTCAAGCAAATCCTAGTTAGTTTGAGGGTTATGCCTAATTATTTACACAATTTTTCGATTTAATTTTGTATACAGGTTGATTAGTGCACCGAAAAAGTGTGTATGAGTTTCAGATTAAAAAACCTATGACGCATGATTTGAACGATTGTTAATTGCTGATGTATATATCGACGTTTGTTCTTTTATTTTCTCGTATAAGACGTCATCTTTTTAGAGTGCCTAGTTCAGAAGTCAATTTAATTAGGTTTCATATCATTTTCCTCCAAATAATGTTGATGTCCATGTCAATTTAATTAGGTTTCATATCATTTTCTTCCAAAATACTTTCACACGAGTGTTAAATTACCAAAAAATATATGGTTCTTCAGAGAATAATTTACATTGCACAAGTCCCGTCTATATTTTTGTTTTTTTGTTGAACCATACGAGTTATTTTCGTCCATCTGTTCATGAAGAGATTTTTCAATGTGACTGGTACACGGTATGGTACATCACGTGCCATTATTCAAATAGTGAGATATGTGTGTTAAAAAGTTAATAACTTAAAAAATAAAATTTCTCACCACTTGTATAAAAACACATAATGTACCACTTATATTCCGATTACAATGAAAAATTTCTCCTGTTCAAGTGACGGATCTTTCCGGTTTTTTAATTTTAAAAAATAGAAAAGAGCAAATTTGTCCAACTACGCTGCTGTTATTTTCCAATTGCACCACTTTTTTGCCCAAAATTTGGAAAATACGAGAAAGTAAAAGTACGAATCGTTCAGACTCAAATCCTGGAAATTCTGTGGCAGTGGGAACAGATGGAGGTTGATACATTCTGATCAGTCCAAATCTGCCAGGTGCTGAGCTCAAACTGAAAGCCGCCTTATGCCTGCCTCCTTCACATAAAGAAAAATTTCAGTGTGTACTCGAAAACACAATTCGACACAAATATCATAATACAATTGATAGAAAATTTTATTTTGTAAGTTTTTAACTAACTGTATTACATTAGGTATGATGAACCGTGTTCTTATCACACTGAAAAATCTCTCATCATGTGAATCATCGTCAATAATTGTTGAGATCATCATAATTACCAAGATTAAATGGTTGGTAGTGTTTGGCTTCATATCAAAGTGGGTGTCTCCATCGAGCGTTGAGTGAGGGAAAAGTGAAGCGACTATCTCACAAATTTTTTTATTTTTTATTTTATTTTTGAGTCATCGATATTATTTACACTAAGGAAATGAGGTAGGTTTAACCTTATAATGGACTAATATGGTTCAAATTCGTCTTTGACAAAAATCGAACCTAAAATCTCTCACTTAGATTTTAGTCCTTGATTATCTTTTCTTTTATATAAAAATTTCGGTAGAGCTGCTTTATTAAGACACCTCTTATATTAAGTGAAATCAATGCATATTGAATAGACGGAACTAAAACACAAGCACATACTTACTTTTATGTATTATACAAATGATGTGATGGAAATTTTCATATTCAAGTTCTTCTCCTTCGTGAATCACTAGTTGCCAATCATCTTAAAATTCAATAATTTTTTAAAATGGCTGAAAGTTTTTTTTGGTAAATTATTTTTGAGTTTTAAAGCACTTGAAGTGTTTCATGCAATAAGCACTAGTTAAAAGCTTCTTGTAAAAAACACTTCAAATTTTTTTTTTCCAGGTTTCACATGCTTTCTTAATAAAAATTGATCCCAACAAAATATAAAAAAAAACGCTTATGTCATTTAAAAATAAAACTTCCAAACAAGCTTTCAAAATATCCTTCAATAAACCAAAACATGGACTCCTTTCAATGTGAATTGCTAGATGGGTAGTTAGATTTGAACATAGAGGACATAAAGAAGAAAAAACTAATGTGAGTACAAAAATAGTTGGGACTGGATCGAGCTGGCTTTATTTTAGAAACTTCGGAGTACCAAATAATAAAGTATTATTTTGTGATCGATCCGAGGAAAGAAATCAGGATCATGCCTTGATAGAGGCGTGGTAATTGTGTAGCGTTTCACAAAATATTTAGGGTAAAGCATAAAAAATTATCTCAACTATTAGTGTCACGACACTTTCATACCTCATCTTTTAAAATTGACAATGTTATATCTTGTCTTTAGAATTTGGTCAAATGTTATACATTCCGTTAGCCTGACCATTAATTTGTCAGTTAAATGCTGACATGATTTGATCCAGACCTCATTTTCTATTAAAAATTTAATAAAATATTAAAAAATAAATAAATAATCATTTAATATTTTTAAAATATTAAAATAATAAAGAAAAGTAACAAAAAAAACAAAAAACAAAAACAAAAACAAAAAAACAAAAAACAAAACAAAACAAAAAAACAAAACATGTTCGTCCGTTCCACCCCCTCCCCCCTCCCCCCTTCCCTCTCTCCCCATCTTCATCTTCTTCCCTGCTTAATCTTCAACCAAAAAAATAAAAATTTTGAAAACCCATCAACCCCAAACCCCCCCCCCTCGCGGGAAGAAGAAGAAGAAAAAGAAGGAAAAGGAGGAGGAAGAAGAAGAAAAAGAAGGAAAAGGAGGAAGAAGAAGAAGAAGAAGAAGGAGGAGGAAGGAGGAGAAGAAGAAGAAAAGAAAAGAAAGAAAAGAAAGAAAAACATAAACGGCAACTCGAAGTATAAATATGCAGAAGTGTAAAACATGCGTTCTTAATAAAAATTGATCCCAACAAAATTTTCAAAAAAAACGTTTATGTCATTTAAAAAAAAAAAAAAACTTCCAAACAAGCTTTCAAAATATCCTTCAATAAACCAAAACAGGGACTCCTTTCAATGTGAATTGCTAGATGGGTAGTTAGATTTGAACATAGAGGACATAAAGAAGAAAAAACAAATGTGAGTACAAAAATAGTTGGGAGTGGATCGAGCTGACTTTATTTCAGAAACTTCCGAGTACCAAATAATAAAGTATTATTTTGTGATCGATCCAAGGAAAGAAATCAGGATCATGCTTTGATAGAGGCTTGGAAATTGTGTAGCGTTTCACAAAATATTTAAGGTAAAGTACAAAAAATTATCTCAACTATTAATGTCACAACACTTTCATACCTTATCTTTTAAAATTGACAATGTCATACCTCGTCTTTAGAATTTGGTCCAATGTTATACCTTCCGTTAGACTGACCATTAATTTGTCAGTTAAATGCTGACGTGGCTTGATTCATACCCCATTTTCTATTAAAAAATTAATAAAATATTAAAAAATAAATAAAATTTAATATTTTTAAAATATTAAAATAATAAAGAAAAGTAAAAAAAAACAAAAAACAAAAACAAAAACAAAAACAAAAACAAAAACAAAAAAAACAAAAAACAAAACAAAAAAACAAAACATGTTCGTCCGTTCCACCCCCCTCCCCCCTTCTCTCTCCCCATCTTCATCTTCTTCCCTACTTAATCTTCAACCCAAAAAAAAAAAATTTGAAAACCCATCAACCCCCAACCCCCCCCCCCCACCCAGGAAGAAGAAGAAGAAGAAAAAGGAGAAGGAGGAGGAAGAAGATGAAAAAGGAGGAGGAAGGAGGAGAAGAAGAACCAAATAAAAAAAAAAAAAAACCCCAACACAACCTAGTTCCCCCCCCCCCCGTCAACAAAACAAACCCAACCCCTTGCAACCCAGAAAAGAAGAAGAAGGGAAAAAAAAAACCCAGATCCCATTCGCCAGGCCGATTCCACAGGGGGTGGGTGCAGAGGGTGGATGCGAGGGGAAGACGAATTGAGATTTTATTTTATTTTATTTTTTGTTTTGTTTTCTGGGTCGCAGGTAGGGGCTCGGGTGGGGGAGAAGAGAGAAGGACCCGGGGGGTGGGAAGGGACAAAGTTTTTTTTTGTTTTTTTTTCTTCTTCTTTTCTCTGTGTTGCAGTAGGTAGATAAGGGGAAGATAAGGGGAGGGAGGGAGGGGAAGGGACGAACATGTTTTGTATTTTTTTATTTTTTATAACTTTTCTTTAGTATTTTAATATTTAAAAAATATTAAATGATTTTTTTTTAGTTTTTTTTTAATTTCTTAATAGAAAGTGGTGTCTGGATCAAGCCACGTCAGCATTTAACTGACAAATTAATGGCTAGGCTAACAAAAGGTATAATATTGGACCAAATTCTAAAGACGAGGTATGACATTGTCAATTTTAAAAGATGAAGTATGAAAGTGTTGTGACACCAATAGTTGAAGTAATTTTTTGTACTTTACCCAAATATTTATTTATATGCTCCATAACCCGGAGAAATTTTTTATTGTGATTGGAACATTGATGATACATCACGTATTTTTATATAATTTGTAAGAAATTTATTTTTTAAGTTATTAATTTTAAAACACACATATCCCATAATTTATGTAGTGACACGTAATGTACCATCCCGAATTTCGATCACACCGAAAAATCTCTCATATTATTCAATGTTGATCCATTCTAACATACACACACATAAATTTGTTCCATTCGTTATTTGGTGAGAGATTTAAGTGTGTTCCGAACATGAGGCATAATACTACATGTTATTATAGAAGAACTTTTTTATTTCAAGTGTTATTTCAATTGTATAATAACATGTGGTGTTTTGCTCTAAGTAGAAAATCTCTCATTTGGTGGTGATGATGATGATGACCGTGATGTCATGAATTGTTTCTTTATTAAATAAGTTCTTCATCAACTATCTTCTAAAACAAGTAGATGTATAAGAAATACTTTTATGTGTTGAGTGTAAAAAAAGGGTGTTAGCATCAATTGTGGGTGTTAATTTTGTTAATTTTTTTGTCAAACAATAGATTTTATTAGATTATATGTTATATTAGCCACCGATAAGATTCAAACCCACGTCATCATGCAAGAACTCAACTCATTTCCACTATTGTGGTGAAGGGCAACTTGCCATCAGTTGTGCATGTTATGATAACTTGTTCATCTCAATTGATTTTAAAAGTAAAACTTCAATTTTTTTTTTAACGAAAATAATGCTTATGTCAAAGGAAAAATAATCCCATATTCTCAATAATCCGTGTTTTTAAACTCTTAACCATATTCTCTTAGATCTCAAGGTTTAAGAAATTGTGATTATCCATCGTTCAATTTTAATTTAACGGTAAATAATCATTTAATTATTTTTCTTACTTTCTCTTTTACCGTTAAATAAATATGAAACGGTGAAAACCACGATGGGCACGAGACTTTTACGTCCTAAGACCAGCTCCAACCCTTGGTTTAGGGTTATGAGTTAAATATTTAGCCCGAGACCATTAAAGAATGAATTTAGGACAATTTCTTTCTTAAAGTAACTTTAAAAAAAAAATTATGTATACTATCATAATTTAAATTTATGAACATTTTAACCTAAAAATATTTAGATTTCGATAAATATTGAAAAATACTAAACCAACACTATGAAACTCATGAAATACTACGAAAGAATATGAAAAACGTAAAATATATATTTTTTAATTACTTTAGCCGTTAGATTTAAATTTGGACCGTTATATATATTTTTTTACCGTTAGATTTGATCAAATTAGATCTTAATTGTTGGATTAAATTAATTTATAAATATAAAACTTAAAAAAATATACATATATGGTGGGCCAGCTCCAATAACCCAACGAGAATCCTGGGTTAAATTTATCCCAGAAATAAGTTTTGAGTTTAAACTCATATTTGACCCAAAAATTTAAGCAAATTATGATAAGTTTAAACCCTAAAATTTAAATTTTATTTATGGTTGGAGTTGGTTTAAAGCTTAATTTGACGCCGCCACATTCGTGGCTAATATCGCGGGAACAGAAAAAAAATAAAAAATAAAAAATAAAAATATCGCGGGAGCACATAGGTTTCTCCCGACTACTTCATACTAAAATTACAGTACTACCCTTCCAGGGGTCAACGTCATACCTTTCACGGGCACCGATTGGTCCAAACTTTCTTCACACTCATCCACGTGGCACTACTCCACATTGTATGATGAGCTGGCACGCTCGTGACTGCCCACACTTCAGAGAGTTCACTGGAACTGGAGAGAGAGAGAGAGAGAGAGAGAGAGAGAGAGAGAGAGAGAGAGGAGCTGAAGAAGCTTCTCGCTCCAGCACAATCTCGGCAACAAATCCTAACGGTTTGAATTTGCTCAACGGAAATAACCGTCACCGATTCCTCGGGAAGAAGAAGATGGCGACTCTGCAACTTCCGGGTTGCAGAGCTATCGATCGCTCTTCGCCTCCGCCGTTGATCCACGACTCCTCCTCTTCCTCCGCGTTTTGGGGAGGACACGTGGCTTTCATCAACGCCCGTCGTTCCTCGACAGAGAAGCTCCGGTCCGACGGCGGAGCGTTTAGGATCGTGGCGAAGTCGGGCGGTTCGTCTGCGTCGTCGTTCAAGATGAACTTGAACGAGTACATGGTCACTCTCGACAAACCGCTCGGGATTCGGTTCGCGCTCTCCGTCGACGGCAGAATCTTCGTCCACGCCCTCAAGAAAGGGGTATTTCCGTCTTTTCGTCTTCATCCCTCTCTCTATTTCTCTCTCTGGAACAAAAGTTCAGAGCTTTTGATTGATCGATCGATCGATTGATTTAATTTTTGTTGAATTTGATATTGCAGGGGAATGCGGAGAAGTCCAGGATAGTAATGGTGGGCGACAAATTGAAAAGGGCCGGGGATTTGTCCGCCGGCCGGCTCGTTGAGGCCACCGATTTTGGTGATGCACAGTGAGTATGCCATTTTTTTGTTGGGAGTTTTAACAAAACACCATTACTGTTTATTTTTAAATAAAAATCATATTTTTATCTTTTTCTCGGTACTATTCACTACACTTTATTTATCATTTTTCATTAAAACTAAATTTTTTTTTGAATTTTTGGTTAGTTTTTTTTTTCCCCTTCGTACAAAGTATTATACTTTAATCTAAATTAATCTAAGACTGCGGGGATGGAAATTCGAACTCGGGTGCATAGATGTACATCTGCTATGACCAATGTGACTATGCCCATGTCTGGAATGTGACTACGCCCATGTCTGCGCGCACATAGTATGTCAATAACATTTTTCATTCCGATTGCATAAATGAAAAATTGAAAAATCATGAGAAAGAAGTGCCCAAATTTCGAAATTGGTTCATGAATGTGTGTTCATTTTTGTTGTTGTTTTTATTTTTTTCAGTGTTTGGTTTCTCCAGGAAGATGCTGAGGGAGAAAACAGGATCTGTTAGCCTGGTTCTTGAGAGACCCTTGTCTCCTTTTCCAATTCAGCAACTGCTTCTTATGAATGATCTCGATAATCTGTTCAATAGAGGTAGAGTTTCTTTTGCAACTTGGAACAAGGCTGTGCTGGCTTCAAGTTTGCAGTCATCTCCGGGAACCGGTGGGAACTCTGGCTTTGTTACGTTCTCCTCGAAGTTTCTGAAACCACGAGGATGGAATTATTTGAGTGACAAAAATGGTCATATTCAATCACAAATGCAGAAGAATACTCTTGCCCAACCCCTGAGCCAGCTTGCTTGTATTTACGCTGAAGAGGAGTCCGGAGATGGAGAATGGACTCATGGGAACTTCCCACTGGATGAATATGTTAAGGCACTGGATCGCTCTAAAGGCGAGCTATACTATAATCACGCTCTCGGTATGCGCTACAGTAAGGTGTGATGTTCATCAAATTCTTCGACTATAAACTTGCATTGAAAACTGGAGAGTGGATAAGATATGTTCGTTCGATAGTTCATATGAGTTACAGATAAATGCTCATTTGTTATGTTCATATGTCAGATTACTGAACAAATATATGTTGGATCATGCATACAAACAGAAGATGATGTGGTGGTGTTGGCAAATGTGGCGGTGAGTTACTGCTATACTATATACACATTGTATCAACTTCGTTTCTGTGTCTCTCTTTAACTGCTATGAAATTCTTCGTGCAGGGAGTTACTGCTATACTGAATTTCCAAAGTGGATTTGAGACAGAAAATTGGGGAATAAATTCCAACGCAATAAATGAGTCATGCCAAAAGTTCGATATTCTGATGATCAACTATCCTATAAGGTAATGAAAAAATCTGTGCGCTATTTAATTTATCGATGGACAAAATTTATCTTTCTTTTGAAGTCACTTCAAATCATGGAGGTTGTGCATTGAATTTCAGAAATGGAAATGTGTTTCTGAAAGTGTCAAAGTGTAATGCTTTAAACAGCTCACTAACGAGGCCTCATAAAACGTCTGAAACTTTTCTTTTGCAGGGATGGAGATTCTTTTGATTTGAGGAAGAAACTGCCATTCTGTGTGGGGTTATTATTACGCTTATTAAAGAAGAATCATCGTGTTTTTGTTACTTGTACAACTGGTTTTGATCGGTCTCCAGCTTGTGTAATAGCATACCTACACTGGATGACTGATACTTCCCTTCACGCAGCTTATAATTTTGTCACCGGGTTGCATTTATGCAAGCCTGACAGGTTAGCATCTCAACCATCCTCTTTTCTTTTGAGTTTTATACATTATGAAAGGAACATCTTAGCATGAAAAAGTCATTTATTGTGAGGGGATCGCAATTCCTCGCTGTGCCTGTGACTTGTTAAAGAAAAAAGAGACTTTGTCTGTAAATAATGAAAGATATCCTTAAAATTTCAATGCAGACCGGCAATTGCTTGGGCAACATGGGATCTTATAGCCATGGTGGAAAATGGGAAACATGATGGACCTCCAACACATGCTGTGACATTTGTATGGAATGGACAAGAGGTAGTTGACAACTTCAGTTTCAACTTCAATTTGCAACGTATGCTTAGCAATGATATTGGTCATTGTATAAATCTGAAGGGACAATGCAAGAAATTTCTTTCTCGATGCCTTACTTGGCGTAGGACTAGATCCGTAAATGGTTTTAAGAACGTAGTCTTTAAAGCATTATACCGTTCTGTAGTTGAGCTGTAATAGAACTTATTCTGTTTCTGTTTGTGCTTCCTGATTCAGTCTGTCTTGATTTACAGGGGGAGGATGTAACCTTAGTTGGAGATTTCACTGCAAACTGGAAAGAACCAATTCGGGCAACTCACAAAGGTGGATCCCGATGGGAAGCAGAAGTCAGACTTTCACAAGGAAAGTAAGTAAAAATCATTGTGTTATTTTGTTTATTATGATTAGAATCAAAATACGAGATCTAATGCCTTCAGTTAACTTGTAGTATTGAATATTCTATCAAGCTAATGCATTGCTGCTTGTTAATCTTTTCAACTTCTCATAGACTAGCTAATCTTGAAAAATGTCGCACGATGAGTTTATCTAAATTCATTTTAAGCAGTGATATGATGATCATCTGCAGGTATTACTATAAGTTCATTGTTAATGGGAATTGGCGGCATTCAACATTGTCCCCATCTGAAAGGGATGGAAGTGGGAATGTCAACAATATAATCATCATTGGCGATACTGCCAGCGTGAGACCTTCTGTTCAACAACCGCAAAAGGTCAGTGCACTAATATGCATTTCTTTTTCGTCGATTGTTTTCTTTTCTTACGAATTTGAGCAAGTAGATTAGACCATTGAACTTGTTTTCTCTTCCGGCAAGCAAAAAATTGGACTTGTATGCTTTTCCCCCTAAATGACACTGATGGATGATGGTTGTTTTGACAACTTGCTGTTTTAGGATGTGAATATTGTGAAGGTGATCGAGAGGCCATTGACAGAAAACGAGCGCTTCATGCTGGCAAAAGCTGCTCGTTGCGTTTCATTCTCAATATGCCCGATTAGACTAGCTCCAAAGTAGGTTGGCAAGTACACCATACCGCGATCTGACGATTTTTCGAGGCTAGAACATACAGATCATGCAAATTAGTTTCTGCTGAGTCCCTAAAATCAAGACATACATAAATGTAGCATGATGCAATTGTTGAGGTTGTTCTGCTATTGTTGCCTTTCATGGGCCTATATGTTATTGATATCAATAAATTTGTTTAAAGCCTATGTACAAACAACCCACGTGATGGATGAAGAAAAAAGCCACAATGGTTGGCGACGCCAAAATGGCGGTATTCCAAAATAATCACCCGATGTTAAGTAGATAAGTAAAAATACATGAAGATGTGTGATAGGCTTTTCGTAACAGTATGATTTCATTGCTTGATTTACAAGTATATATGTGAGATACAAGGAGATTACTTACAAGGAAAATATAATCCCGAAGATAAGATTACACAAAATAATTAGGCTTTGCAAGAAATTAGGGATTGACCGGATTTGTTAGGATTTCGTCTATCAACGATTACATTGAGATACTTTTCAGTGTACCCGGAACAATGCACCACATGTCATTATATAAGTGGAGGGGATTTTTATTTTTCAAGTTTCCCTCCGCTTATAATAACAATATGGTGTATCACCTTGTGACCTAGGTACATTGAAAAATCTCTCTCCACCACATTGGCTGGGAAGCGGGGACCAACATCAGCATATGCCATCTAATCTAATGTATGCCGGAAATATGACACAAGGATGTCGACACATTGTTAATTAGGAAATGTCGACACAGTGTTTGGTTAGAAAATGTCGACATGTACCATAACGCAATCGGTTTAAGTCACCTACAGAGCTTTTATAAGAGTTTGCATCAACTTATCAGACACTCCCACCCTTCTCTCCTAATTCTCGAGAAGAGCTGACATGCAACTGAGATGCTAAGGTGATGGTATTCCAAACCAACCATGCTATGTCATGTTGAAAAGTTAAAACATATGACGGTTTGAGATGGGCTTGAAATGCCAACACCATCGCATCTCATGTTCCACGTAAGTTACTCTCCACTCTCACTTATGGTGCTCTACCAACTGCGCAAGGCTGCATTGTCCCCATTTCAGTTGAACAATCATGGGACATGAAGGTACGATCTTTTAGTTTTCATTTAATTTCTCTCCTTCGAAGTAGAAGAAACTAGGATTAATGAACGAAGGCTATCGATCTTATGACGAATGCAGTGCAGAAGAGCCACCAATGGTTGTGGAATTGCCTATTGTGGGTTTAATTGGGACAGCCCAAACTATGTAAAAAATTAATTAGAGTGATCTCTATTTAAAGCCCACAACAAAGATAAGAAAGTCATCACATATTCGAGAGGAGAGATTTTTCAGTGTACACATAACACATGACGGGAACATTAGATGTCATTATATAATTAGCGGAAAGTCGTTTAAGTGTCTCTCCAATTGTATAATGACATATGATATTTCGTCCCGTGTTCCAAACACAGTGATAAATCTCTCATTAGAGAGACTCTGTCTTGTCATAAAGTGTACACACTTATCTGTATACATTTCTCATCACGTTACTACCATGACACACAGCTAGAATATATGGCATAGCATAGATAGAAAGGTAAGAAATCAGACTGCAGGTTATACATAGTGGCTATTAGAATCCACAGGAGCCATATGTTTTAAGGATAGGAGTAGGACCTTATCTGTGTAATCCATGACCTTATCTGTGTAATCCATCACCCATCATCTCTCTCTCGCATGTCCACCAGTAATTCCATTTCAACCGGGATATTAGAGATGCCCAGAACCAGAAGCTAGCATGTCTTCTTCAATCCTTTCATTTTTATTTTTTATTTTTTTATTCTTTTGGATTTCACATTTTGGCTTTGTGGTATATATAAGTCAACTCTATCTACATTGTCTGCTATGCATGAAAAACTGAAAATGATATATAAAGATATATTTTTGCTCACAACCCTCAAGTGATGGTGATGCTCACCACCCTATTTATTACCATTAGATGAGTTTAAATTTTGAGATCTATGTAATAGATAGACACAAATCCTAAAATTTAAACTCATTAAATAGTGATAAATATGGTGGTAAGTATTACCACCACTTGAGGATGGTAAACAAAACTGCACTCAATATATATGGGGAGTCTATACATTGACATTGGATATTCTGAATGTGCAAAGACGAAGAGTCTTTCTATTATATAACAATGTATGACATATACCGCATATGCAACGATATTTAATCTTCTAAACCTTAAAAGAGAAACGAACTCGTGACATGTAATGGTTTAAAACGCTGATTCAAGAAATACTTAATAAAAGGAGAAATGTGGGTTACCTTTATGAACAATTTGATATATATTATGTGACTCAATCAGAATTTAGAAGCAATTCATTTGAGAGGAACTGCAGGTTGACCCTACGAATGGGATGTTAGGTTTCATTAAATTGTATATCTTTTCCTTGTTCATCAGTCACCAAAGAAGATAGCTAGGAGATTAGGAATTGGGAATGAAATAATTTCTATTGGTGACACATCATTTAGTTTGCAAATTTAGTCTCCATAGCATTATCCATAAATATGTATGCAGTTCAACAAGGTGAAAACACAAATGGCGTAGCAGCAGGTGGCAAACAAGTAAATTTTTGGTTCAGAACGCTATAATTATGTAGTGTTATTATTCTGTTCAAATTGTGATGTGCATATGTCTTTTATTAACATACTAGAATGATAACACTAAATAGCAGCATTTTAGGGAGACAAATAATATTTATGGCAAACAGCCAATGCATGAAAGTAGCTTTTTACGAAGACGATGATGAAGGAAAAATTAAGAGTATCACTAGTATTGTGTGTGACAAGGGCAGATAGAAGGTGTAGCGATGCATGATGGCCATGCAATGTAAATGGCGAGTGGTAGTGAAAGGAGATAGAGAGATTGGGTTCATCTCCGACGTCCAAACCTCATCCGTATGCAGATTAGAAGCTCTCGTTGACTGAGCTTTCACTTTCACTATTTCACTATTTGAATATATGATGGGTTCAATGGTGAGGTGTATAAAGCCAGGCAGTTCAAGAGTTCGTTGGCCACCATGTCTTCAGCTTCGTTAGTTAAGAGCTTCAACCTCACCTCCTCCGCCCTCTCTCGTGCCACCAGCAGGAAACCTAGTTGTATTTCTGCCAGGATCAGCACTTCTTCTTCTTCTAGATCTCCTCCTCCAAACCTCATCCAAAACAAGCCTGTTACCTCCGTTCCTGCTATCACTCGGGTACTCTCTAGATCCTTCAACTCATCATGTGTACATTAGTTTCAAGTAGTGTATATGACAATGTGACTGCCCTAGGCTCTGCACTCTGGCTACATCGAAAACCTGACGATAGTCACTGACACTATCAGTTTCAAAGAGCGGGATGTGTAAAAGGTCTACTAGCTGGTTGCATGCATGTAAATATGACGATACAACCACTATTATGCCTTTTACCTATCCCATTCTGTGCCACTAAGTGCCCGTGATTATTGTCAGTTTCTTTTGCAGTGGCTGCGGTTGTCTGAAAATATATGTATTGCAGCTTCATAAATATTTACGGCCCTGGTAGCTCTTTGGTTCACGTGGTGAAACCGGGATAGGTAGAGAACTCTACTGGTGTACAATACCAGACTTGAACACGTTTGATTTTACATGTTCATTATCATCGATGATTAATCAGTGTTCTTATCACACAACTAATCCTCTGCTTATCGGGATGACGTGCACGCTGTTCATTGATTCAACATCCTTTAAAAATGACACATGTATGGTTTGAATCTAAGTAAATATAAAAGATAAATGACACATGTATGGTACTAATTTTCCCTAATCGATATTTAGGTGAAATAAAAAGGTATAAAGAAAGAAGTACATGTTAACAAATTAAATGTTAACATATTATTTGCGTGTGTGAACAATAATTAGAAAGAAGAAATGGCAAAGGAGTACGAAGAGGCCATTGCATCTCTCCAGAAACTTCTCAGTGAGAAGGAGGAGCTGAGAGTTGAAGCGGCTGCGAAGGTGGAGCAGGTTACAGCCGAGCTTGCGACAGCCGAGGCCAGCGGCGCCACCAAGCCTTATGACGCCGCTGAGAGGCTCAAGAGCGGCTTCATTCACTTCAAGAAGGAGAAATACGAGTATGCTCTCTTTTTACTAAATAGAAGATTAAATGAGATTAGCTTCCGACTCACAGTCATATATATATATATATATATATGAAGTTGAGGACAAATTAATTCGATACTATGTTTTTGTATCACATTTTTATACCATCTTAGGTGATATTTGATTTGGACAACCACATCATTTGAATTAATTAGATTTTTAAATTTAGTTCATTATTTAATAAACTAATAATTAAAAAAAACTAGTTAATTAAATGATGATTGTGATATATGAGGAGTCTTTCTCCTTCATTTCCTTGGGTTTTGTAAATTTTTCAAATGATGTGGCTGTACACATTAGATGTCACCTAAGATGGTATAAAAATATAATATAAAAACATGGTATGAATATCATTGCTCGATTAATTATAACCATTTTCTTCCTTAATTTAACAGCAAGAATCCAGCTCTGTACGGTGAACTTGCCAAAGGACAATGGCCCAAGTTTATGATGTTTGCATGCTCGGATTCTCGAGTTTGCCCATCACATGTTCTGGATATGCAGCCGGGAGAGGCTTTTGTTGTCCGCACAGTTGCTAACTTGGTCCCACCCTATGATAAGGTTTACATATTTCCTCAGACTTTTTATGCGTTCTGTCACAACAAAACGTGGCTCTTTGTGTGGGAGGTAGATTCTGCCCCTGGGCCATATCCATCTCCTTCTATTATATGTGATCACGGTTAAGCCACGTTAACATTTTATAATAATTTTTTTATAAACATAATAAGACAAAAAGTAATAAGAATATAAAATTTTGATGTGACTTAACCGTAATCGTACAAATAGAAAATGATGGGAAGAGCACCCAAACAGGAGAGCAGACAATCTGCCTCCTTTTGTTTGTCCCTATATATATATATATATATAATATTAAACGAGATTTTAATTTAATTTTTTTCTGTGTATGTGTTAATAGGTTAAATACGCTGGGACAGGGGCGGCCATTGAGTATGCTGTCTTGCATCTCAAGGTAATTAATCCATGCATTTTGGTTTTGTTTCTTAGTTTTGTAATAATTAATCGTATTTAGCTAAATGCTGTTTTCATTGTAATATTAATCTTGTGTATGTAATATATGTATTTATAGGTTTCATACATAGTGGTGATTGGGCACAGTGCCTGTGGAGGAATCAAGGCACTCTTGTCTATTCCAGAAGATGGGTCTACCCTCGGCACGTAAGCAAGCAATCCACTCTTATCATCTCGTTTGAAATTACTTGTTTGGAAGTGCTTTTAAAATGATTGAAAACGTTTTTGATGAAAATATGTTTGAAACCAATTTCTAGTAAAAAATTCAAGTGGATCATGAAATAGCACTTGGTTTGGCATTGTTGTGCTTTGAAAAAAAACTGTTTTTGCTGTGATGTGAGAATAAACAGCTATGAAATAAAGCAGCAGAGTGTTTGGTAAACTTTTTCGTAAAAGTGCTTTTGAAAAAAAAAAGCAGTATTATTGTGTTTGATAAACTTTTATGTGAAAAAAAGCTGGTTTTTCAAAGCTGGGTTTTGCAGCTTTGTGTTTTTTGCTTTTTTTTCACAAAAAACTGTGAAAAAAAGCTGAAGCTGAATGTTTACCAATTATAAAAAAGCTCCCAACTTGATAGCCACTTTTTTCAGAATCACCACAGTACCAAATCAGGGTTAAGTGCCTCATGCAAAAAACATATATATGATATTTCTTCCAAAAAGTACTTAAAATGCTGGAACCCAAAATCATTCTCATCAAAAACATTTTTAATCATTTTAAATACACAAGCTCAAATTGTTTTTGTTAGAAGTGCTTTTAGTGTAAACAAGTCAAAATTTTCATTTAAAGTCTAAGTGCTTTTAGTTGTTCTTCCAGAAAGCACTTTTACGAGCCAAAAACATCTTTAACATTTGCTGCCAAAAGAACTCTCAACTGTTTTTGGTTGTTAGAAAGTACTTCTTGCTCTTCCAAAAACAACCCCAAACAAATTAAAATAACACCTATTTATTATCTTAATTACGAAATGATGAATGGCTGCATGATGAATGGATGGTGCAGTGACGTCATAGAAGACTGGATTCGTATTGGATCGCCGGCAGCGAAGAAGGTGAAGGCAGATCACGGTCCTGATACTCCTTTCCCTGAACTATGCAGTCGTTGCGAAAAGGTTTGTACCGATACATGAATGCACTTTATTTACTGGTTAGCACCGTATTAACTTACTAACTCACTGAAACGAGTGCAGGAGGCGGTGAATGTATCGATCGGAAACCTGCTGAGCTATCCGTTTGTGAGAGAGGGTTTGCTGAAGAAAACCCTAGCAATCAAGGGAGGATACTATGACTTTATCAATGGACATTTTGAGCTCTGGGATGTTGATTTCAGCCTCAACCCCAACTTCTCCGTATGATCGTAATCACATAATTCCCATGCAACTCAATTGCTTCCTAATTAATTATCATTAAGTACTTCTAATTTATTTCTTAATTTCATCTGCAATGTCCCCGGAAGCACGTCTGCAAATGTAACCGATATTTCGCAGCAATAATTATAATTTCCTCGAGCTTGTAATTACCTGGTTTGCAAATAAGTAAAGGGAATGGTTTTGCTCACTGCTCTCAAGTGGTGGTGATGCTTACCATCTTATTTATCACCGTTGGATTGTGTTTAAATTTTAAAATTTGTGTAGTGGATGAGATCCACGTTGGCTCCTTTTGTTTTCCTTAAAATTTTATTGAATCGTAATTACTATTTTTTTTATAGTTGAAATTTGTTTCCGTCGAGAGTACTGCAATTTTCGTGTTTTGTTTGTTTGTTTTAGGTTAAGGAGGTGGCTACCGTACTGCACTGGAAGCTCTAGGCCATTTGAGACAGACAAGTGATGATAACGTGAACTGGGTTTTAATTATATTTACACAAATTTAAGCCACTTATTTCGTTTCAAGAGTTGAATGTTATAATCTTCATCCACATCCCAAGTTCTCCATAATATTTCTACCAAGCTTCTCGGTTGTTCTATTTACGTCAGGGCAGTATGACTGTCTCGTTGCACTTACTTCACGTCATCGTACTTGTAGATTAAAATAGTTTGAAATATCAATACTTCGTCAACATATCAAATCCCAAAGGATGCCAGCCTTATCCACAAGGCATTTTTCAGTGTGCCTGGAACACAGACACATACGTCATATATCATTATATAGCCTGTAATTTGATGCTTTTACTAGTGCAGCTCCATATCCGAAGATAAATAAAACCGACCCATATACACATACAAAAATAGTCTGCATCATAAACATGGAAGATTCAACCACAAAATATCGACGGATAATCGTGTTAATTACAATAGTTTATGTACAGCAAGATCCTTCCTTCTAAAACTATCAACACATAAATAATGGCGAGATGTTCCCTTTTTCGGTTAACTGAGAACTCATTAGATCAAAGGCGATTCGTTCCCAATCTATAGGTACTGCATTTTAAATACGCGTGCTGAACCATTCAACTGGTCATGTCTCGTCGGCCTTTGATTCAAGCACAACAGGGATTTTCTCCTTCTGATCGCCGCGCAACACCTCCACAAACACCTGAGTTCGGAAGATCATAATGTTGAAATATAAAAAATGCTTGAGAACAAATTCACCTCGGTTTGGCTGAAGGGAGAAAACTGCGTTTGTGCTAAAATGGTTCCAAATAAGGGACAGTGTGATGTGATAATAGAACATACCTTGTCGCCCACTTTACACTGATCGAGAATTCTATACAAGTCGCTGCCATTGCTGACCTTTTTTCCATTCACAGATGTTATAATGTCACCCAATATGAGTCTACCATAGGCGTCGCGCTTGGTTGGTACCAGTCCCTGCAAAATGGAGGTTCATCAGTTCCAGTTTTGTCGTTTTATCCAACAAAACAAAATGAGTTTCTGTAGCACATCAAACTTAGATTGGAAAAATAGGAAAAGAGAGAATACCGCTTTGCCAGCTGGACCGTTAGCTGGTGCGTCTAAGAGAAGCACACCACTTAACCCCAACTGTTCAACAGATTGATCAGGTGCAAACTTAATCCCTAAAATAGGTCTCGTGACCTTCCCAAATTTGACCAATTGGTCAACAATACCATTTACCTGAACAGGTTAAGAATTTAAAATACAAGTCAGAAGGTTTATATCGAAGCAAGAAAAAGAAGAAATGTCAATGGAAGGAACTTCACGTGATGTGTACTCACTGTGTCAACTGGAATAGAAAATCCAACACCAGATGATGCACCATTTGGAGAATATATAGCTGTGTTTATCCCGATAAGGCTTCCTGTACTATCTAGAAGTGGCCCCCCACTATTCCCAGGATTAATGGCAGCATCTGTCTGTATAACATCTTGAATTGGACGGCCAGTAGCAGCAGAACTAATTTCTCTACGAAGCCCACTATAAATAGTTGAAAGAGTGTAGAATGAGAATGAATGGAAAACAAGACCACTGTTGCCAATTCAAGCATGTCAAGATCGAGTCCATGGAATTTGTACCTGATAACGCCAGTGGTAAGAGTATGATCAAGCCCAAACTGCAAAGTTAGATAAAACGGAATCAAGTTGTCAGTTAGTTTAACCATATGCTTAAAGCCATAACGAAACCCTTCACACAATAGTTAGTGAAGGATCAAGCAATTATAAGCCCTGTTGCAAGAAAGAGATGTTCCTTCATAACCAAACCCAAAGATCATTAAAAAAAAGGTCGTACCCAGTGCACAAGGCTCCTGCTTTACGCAAGGTCTGGGAGAGGTGAATGTCGGCTAGCCTTACCCCCATTTTATGGAGAGGCTGCTCCCAAGTCTCGAACCCGAGACCTACCGCTCATGGGCGAAGGCACTTGCCATCGCACCAAGTGTACTAAAACTTGTTAAGCCTCGTGTTTGATAGTACGCACAATCACGTTGATAGATGTGTAAAATTACTGCACTTTACCCATTATCTATCGATAATTGAACTAAATGAGTATAGTGATACGTAACGATATCTCCACTATATTTAAAAAAAAAGATGAGCATAATGCAGAAAATATGTTGAAAGTTAAGTAATACTTACAGGATTGCCGATAGCAAACACTTTCTGACCAACCAGCAAGTCTGCAGATTGACCAATCGGTATAGGCCTTAGTTTCTCCTTGGGCGCATCAACATGTAGAACAGCAACATCCTTGTCTTGGTCAAATCCAACAACCTTGGCATTAAAAGTTGACTGATCACCAAGCGTGACCCTGTAAATAAGTAGCAGTGTTTTAGAATGCAAACCATGAGGAGAAGTACCACTGTCACTCTTTGAATTAACACCACAAAAGAAAAAGAAAAAAAGACAATAAAAAATGAATCTCTTTCTAACTAAAAAAAACATTTTGAAACAACCGAATAACGTCAAACAAAAGAGTTAGCTGAATTTGCAACCAAAAGGTGTCCCATGCACGACTGAAGGAAAGTAAGTATACTGAAGAACGGCCCTTAAACAGAGTGAGATGATGAAGGCGCTATATGGAAAAGCAAATCAATTAATCAGACATACAGTGGACAAGATTCCATTGATGGCAAAAGTGGTTTCAACATAAATATGAAGGATTCAGAACCCAATGAACTAAAAGGGTCTCAAAAGTGCAAATGCAATCCATCACATCTTTTTAATCCCGGACTCTCCAAACTCCATAATTCTAGTAACATGATGCTTATGTTATGGCTATCAAAGATACAACCCATAACGGGAACTAGGCTGCAAACTTCAGCAAAATTACAACGAGCTTATCGAAACTGAAGTAGGTCCAACGAGCTTATCAAACTTCGGTTAGCAATACATTTGATGCTTAGGCAAAGCAGAACCACATTAAAGCATCACATTGTTCTGATAATTGCTTATGTTATGGGCTATCAAAGATACAACCCATAACGGGAACTAAGCTGCAAACTTCAGCCAAATTACAACGATCTTATCAAAACTGAAGTAGGTCCAACAAGCTTATCAAACTTCGGTTAGCAATACATTTGATGCTTAGGCAAAGCAGAACCACATTAAAGCATCACATTGTTCTGATAATACAACCAAAGTAACAATTCCGAACCAAAACTTGATGCAACAAAGCAGCAAATGCATTTCAACAAAGAAAGAATCAGAAACCAACTGACCTGAGATCAGAAGCGCCGCGAATCACGTGGTAATTGGTGACAACGTTGCCATTTTTATCCCACACGAAGCCTGACCCAGACCCCTGCGGCACCTCAAACACGTCCAAAGTAAACGCATCCTGCCTAAAACCCACAAACACCTATCACTCCAAAAACCCCAAAAATCACAAATTAAACCGAAATAAAAAATGCAGACATGGCGGCTAGAGCTATGTGCCCTCTATGCACCCGAGTGCGAATCCCGCTCTCCGCAGTTTAGATTTATTTAAAGCAGGATATAGCTTGTATACAAAAACTAATAGAAATTGAAAATTTCCGAAAGTGGCCCAATTTTCAGCAAAATCCAAAAGGCTCAAACTTCAACAGTACCTGGCTGCAAGATTGGTGATGTAAACAACAGAGGGAGTGTTCTCCCGAAAGAGCTGAACCGTGGCGAGCTCATCGGACTGCAGCTTCCTCGGCGGAGTGACGACGAAAGCGGAGGCGGGATCCACATCGGCGATGAACAGGGAAAGCGACAGAGCCGCCGAAGCGCAAAGAATGAGCAGAGATTCGAGACCCGAGGAGAAGGGGTTCTTGGTGGCGAGCAGAAGCTTGTGGAGGCACGGGGGACAGTAGGACTTGTACGGCGGGATCAGAGACCGCTTCTGGGTTTTGCGGTGGAGGGAGAGGATGGGGGAGGTTGAGGCTGTGGGTTTGTGGAGGGAAAAGGGTTTGGAGAGAGGGAAAGGAAGGAACTTTCTGTTTGGGGAGCGAGAAAGTGGTGAGAAAGTTGGGGAGGAAGAGTGGAAGTGTGTGGAAATCAGCGAAGAAGCAGCCATCTGGTTATTTTCTCTTGGACAGCTGCTCCAGAAGCACCGTCCACTTCGATTCCTATTTGTTATTTGTATCCAAGCAAATTATGTAACGGATCGTCTTGTAGTGTGAGTTAGTTGGGACTCATGCAAGACTGATTGTTTGGGTAGAGTGCATTTTTGTTCGCCACTATTTAACGTGGTGTATACTCATTATCATATTTATTATCGTTAGATGAATTTGAATTTTAAAATTTGTGCTTATCCACTATACGAATCTTGAAATCTAAACTCATCTAACGGTGATAAATAGAATGGTGAGCATACACCACATTAAATGGTGATGAGCAAAAATGCTCCCGTTCGGGTAAAGTGAATGATTTACGTGAAACGAGTTATCATCACCGTAATGTTTAGAATATTGAAAAGTCACTTAATACTAGAGTCTGGTGATATTTTTTATCACTTGGAAGTCAGATGTCTTAGATTCGAATCTCGTAGATGGCGAATTCGATACCAAATTAGACTACTTATTGTTTGACTTTGCCGAACTCCCCCTCCTCTTAGTATAAAAATTTCAATGTACTAAAAAAATTATAATAATAATAAAATACTAAAAAATATTCAAGCGTTTTCATATGATATTACATTATTAAACTAAAACGCCGAGTAATCCTAAACCTATTTCATGTAAATTAGTCTCCTGTTTACAAATGCTTCTAGACCAGCTAATAACGGTTTCTTACAATAAAATATACTTGATCATATTTTGCAAAAATAAAATAAAATGTTTCCAGACCTTAGTGCTTATGTAGAAGCAGTTGCCAGAAAAGCAATGGAACTTTTGATAAAAAAATTTATTTATAATAAAAATGCTTCTAATAAAAGTGTAAGAGTACAAGTGTTTTCTACTCAAACAATCTCGAATGGCTGCACATACAATTGTAAACACTTTGTTTATGTACAACAATACACCTGTTCTAACAAACTTTCACATCATTTTCTTAACAAACTACTAAAACGTTTAAAATCCAATCTAATCCCAATCAATCACTTTAGTTACAGCGAATTTCAATGACTTCAACGGATTAGATTGAATCTCGAATTCAAAATCCAACATGGTAACATATGATTAGTGTAAACCCCTGAATTATGAACGCAATTACGAAACTAAAAACAGTTGATTAGATTAGTCTCCTAGGGCTAGGAGTCCCCCAAAAAAGGCAGCATGCATATTCACAAGACGCATGAATCCGACCTCCTACTTTATTTTCTTATAACCCCCCAAAGACAACAAAAATTAAAGCCGCCTCTTCTACGAAAAACGCAGACGAGCTTCAACTCGAAGATTTTGAATGCTCGGATAAGCATTGATCAGTTCTTGAAAGGGAAAAAGGTCAGAGAGAGGATGAGTTACAAGATTTTCCCCAGGGGTCTTAGTTCCTTTGGAATGCCGTCGAAATTTCCGGCATTTATATCTGACTGCAGCATCGGTCTTTTCCCTGCTTTCCAAACAATGCCTTCCGCCAGGTGCTCCTTATTCGGTGTCAACATGACGAAATTCGGATCAGCTCTTTGATAACTGCAAAATGGTTAAAACGATGCATTCTGCGTGAGAAGAGTTCATACATTTTCGGGATGAAATGACCATTGACCGTGTATACATGCATTAGAAATATGAGAGCGCATCTAACTACGGAAAATAAAAAGTAAAGGCTGAAACAAATGAATGAACCTGGCTTGTCTAAGATTCTCCACGCGAAGGCCGAAACCATAACCTGTCTCCCCAACAATGTGATTTCTCGTAGCTGCAAAACGCAAATGTATCGGTTTGTTGTACTTCATCCAATATTTCGACACACTCACACTCAGATGCAAAGCAAGATTTAACAAAATCAAAGCAATGCTACTGTCATTCGGGCCGAAATCCAAGACGACAGATAGAAAGACAGGTTTAATGGTCCTTCATATTTCAGAAGGGATCTAGTTACACATGTAGCATATGTTTTAATGAGCCATTTGTTGGAAGTTCAAATAAAAACTTGATGTCAATGTTTATGTGCTGCTAGATGTCAATGTGTCTGTACTGGCCGAAAGCAGAGTGTGACAGCCTTCTGTAATGGCCGAAAGTAGTGCGTGTGTGCAAAAGTCTAAAGGTGTGTGTGAAAGTCTAAAGGTGTGTGTTAAAGTCTAAAGGTGTGTGCGTAAAGACTTTTGAACACTTATTTTGGTATTGAGTTAGTAAACTTTGAATACCAACACCATTCAGTTAAGTTTATAATTAGGTCACAACAATTAGTCTGATGTGTCTCATGAAAATCTACCAATTAGAGATACCTGAAACGCTGAATGTGAAAGAAGGTTTCCACCAGGATTTAAATGCCAATGCTATCGATGAGCTGAGAGGGCCCACCTTTCCCTGCATGGATAAAGAACAAGTGTTTCATGAACTTGATATGATCCGATATTGCAAGTACAAGATTGCATCAAATACGCTACCTTGAGCATGAAGTTCTTATTGGCTTGCCAAGATGCAGCTACTTGAAAGGTGGAATCTTGGACATTAGGTCCATTGCTCGATTTAGGTACATCGCTTGATTCTGGAACATCGTTTGATTCTGGGACATCGCTTGATGATTTGATATCATCAACCCTAAAATAGCATCACAATATAATCAATTATCACCAAATTTGTTGCATATTACATGAGTTTAATTATTTACCTTGTCTGCAATTCAAAGCCAAAATCTATATAATTCGTAATTCCAACCACTTCATTTTCTTCAAGGGGGTTTTTCACCTGTTCAGTTAAAGCAGTTCAATGCCTATTAGTATGCTACATGTTAATTGAAATATAAAAACTAATTTAACAGAAATTTTCTGTAGCATATAACAAACTGGGGATAGACAATACCCGTCTTTGGACCACCACGTGTTGGTAGAATGAGGCAATGAACTGCAGTACAAAAGTTAATTTTTGAGATCCACAAGTTGTATAACATTCTATCAAGTATCCAGCACTGGGAGAAAACCATGCATAGATAAACTAATTTACTTCAAGAATTGGAGGTAATCGAAAAACCATTGAATGTCAGATAAAACGCTCGAGACTTGGAATCGATTAAACTTCACAAAATTTACCAAAACTAAATGAAACAAACCTGAGAACTTCTTGATAACTCCAGACCAAAATTGAATGATGGACTCAAGGGGCTGCTCGATCCCACTCCATAACCGATTGCAGCACTCCAATTCTTTAAATTTTTGTAGTTTTGAGTATCTTTACTCCCATCTAAAAACAATTAAAACAGGATAATAATTTGAAATAAAATTGTACCAAGATCCTAATCTGAATTTATAGAGAACAGCTCATACCAATGTAAACAAGAACTACAAACTAGAAAGTAATAAGGGAAATTGGTTCTTTAAGCATCTTGCACTACAGATGATGACATTCTTGAGTGAAATTTTTCTCTCCGTGGAAAAAACACATATCTCAGTCTGAAGAACCACATTCAGTCCAGTAATGTTAAGGCATCTGAGTGACTTACATTCAGGCTCATACTGCACCCCAGCTGTTAGTCTTCCCATCTTGCTCACCAACCATGCCCTTCTTGGACAATCATCTTTCACTGCATAAACAGATAATTACATTAAATAACGTTTGCCATGCGCCTTAAAAGTTCAGGTAGAACTGATGACTCCAAAGTTCTCTTCCTTCTAAATTCAAATCATGCAAAAGTGCAATCTTAATGTATAAAATAGCCATTCCCCAAAATTTACACATCAGCCAAACATGAGTTTATCCAGCAACATTTCTAATTCTTTTTCCCAATTCATATCGGGGGCGTTGATAACTTACGAGATAAGTTCACTAGCTGTGGCATGATATAGATATAAATAAACTGAATGTTCAGGTCCACAACATAGGTATCAGTTATGTATGACTCATAGAGCAAGAATACTGAAAGAATTGAAATCAAGGTTACATACAGGAGAAGGGCATGACAGTGGCTCCAATTGACAAGTTTGACGAGCCATATCTCAATCCCATAACACCAAAGTCTTCAGAAGTTATTCTACAAGAGTAACGAGCTCTGTCAACATTCTACATTTCATGTGTACGTGCACCAACTACGTCTACTCGGAGGTTTTGGTTTTCCAAACGACACACCTTTTTTTCAGCAACATTGGGAAAATTCCAAACGCTCCCAGTGGCTCTCATCTGCAAAACCCTGAAGTGACAGAAAATATGGGAATAGGTACATAAAGGGAACTGTTATTAATACTCCTAAAATCTCATTCTACACTCATCACAAGTATATTTTTCTTTCTAATTATAGAAAATTTGGAGTGCCAAATGAGATTTTTGGAGTGCTAATAACAATTCCCTACATAAATAGTCATGTTTCTGAACATGAAAACGCGACAAAACTAAAAGAAAAAGACAACACTCTTTTAATTCAGAGAGAGATCCTTACGGATCAGTGTTCGATACAAAGAGGTCCATGAATGTGTGAGGATCATCAACATCACTGCTCAATCAAACAAATACGAAGAAATTGTCATCGTCACCACATTTACGTCCAAGATATCGCGCATAAAACACAATTCATGTACAAGTACAATGGGAATCTGAATCTACTTCAACGTACCTTTGCCAGCGAAAAAATGCATTTCCAACTATATTCTCCTCGGGTTTGTGATCGAGCGGTCCTGAAACCTAAACTAATTAAGGAAACAAAAAGCGAAGATATTTCCCTGCGCATCAAACCATCAACTTTCTAAAAATCAAGATGATGAAGGATACAGTTGCAACCAAATCGACGTGAGGATCGTCGATGGGCTTCAGCATGATCAATGTGCTGAAATGCCGAGCTTGTTCAAAGTAATCGTCAAACAGACATTTCAGAGCGAGTTTCCCAAACAACAAGTCATACGACGACTCCAACATCCTGCATCAAAATTATTCACAAAAATTCCAAAAAAATAGAAAAATAATCACTAAAATAATCAAATAAACGCATTCGTCGACGATTTGATTGCTGCAGATAATCAAACGCTGGCCAATTTTAACAAGGAGTGGCAGCACGATCACAGTAAGCAGTGACGACCTCAAACGTTACAGGATTGAGAGAAACAGAGTAAAAAATCGAACGAACAATAATGCGATGGGGAGAGGACCGTAGAGGGGGCGGGAGTTAGGGAAAAACCTGGTGCGGGCCGCGAGCGGAGGGTAGTCGAAGAGCGGCGGGACGAGCACCATGGGCGGCGGTGGTTCCTTGTCCAGCAAGTTCCCCATCTCTGCGTCCTCCGGCAGCTGCCGATGTAAAAAAAAAAAAGAAATAAAAATAAAATTATGAAACCGCGCCCGCGTAAATCTGCACTCCAGGCTGCAGAGGCCTAGGCCCAAATGTCGATGACCGGTTCAACGCTACTGATTGCGTGGCAGGTCCAGGTGGCACCCCTCAACCCTCAAGTGGGCCAATCGCTTGAAAGCCCAATGCTCACTTTTCCATTTGTTTGGGCTCTAATGAAGGCCCAGACTAAAAAACTAAACAAAAAAAAAAGGAGAAATTAGAGTAATGGTCCTTGAATTATAACTGAACTGTAGCTTTGGTCTCTGAATTAAATATTCATTAGATTTGGTCCTCGAGTTTATCATGAAAATGTTTATCATGAAAATTTATGTTAACATGCTTACATGTCAAACACATGGGACACGCAATTGTATGATTGACTTCCGCATGGCTTAAAAACCCAAAAAAATAAAAATGCACACATAAAAGAGTACAAAGGAAAAATACGTTAAAAAATGAAGAGAAACTCGAACTTAAATGCATAAAAAGGACACAATGCTTTCATAAATCGACTTAACTCACATACACATGTCAACATAAATGAGAAGACCCCACCCACCCAATTGGGTATTTTGCACTTTTTTCAAGATTATGCTCTAGTAAGAGAAACTTGAACTTAAATGCATAAAAACGACATAATACTCTCACAAACCGACTTAATTCACATACACATGTCAACATAAATGAGAAAACCCCTACTCACGCAATTGGGTATTTTGCCCTTTTTTCAAGATTATGCTCTAGTGACTCAAAATTCTCATGAATATACCAAGAACCTCTCTTCTTTCCTATATGCCCTTTTGACCAAAGCTTAGGCCTCAAAATTCTCATGAATATGCCAAGAACCTCTTTTCTTTCCTACATGCCCTTTTGACCAAAGCTTAGGCCTCAAGTTGACCAACTGGCTCCTCAGCTTTTGGATGGACAACACCGCCATGTGCTACCATTACCCAAGTTTTCTAGTGAAAAATAATTTCCGTAAACTCAGAATTTGTTTACTTAACTACAACGAGAGAACGGAAATTCATATAACTTAAAAATAAAAGTAAAAAAAAATATAACCGAAGCAATTGAATCATTCGTAAAACCACTTAGAATTATGGTTTAGTATTATTCTTTTTACTTGTAATTGAGATGTCATAGATTTAAATATCGTACATAGCATATGAACTTATGAAGTGGTATTTGAACTAAAGTTCAAAGAGGCGGACACATTTCATAATATAATTACAATTTTAATCAAAACTTACAATAAAATTATACACATAACTTCTCGAGTGGAGTAATTATTGTTAACCACTTAACCGACGACACTTTATGATTAATTGTGTATGCCAAGAATCACCTAACTCCAACAGTTAATAAGAGGACAAAAACAATTAACAGTCAAGGACGAAAAAAAAAAACAAAAAAACAGTAGAAAAAAAGAGAGGCGTAAGGAAAGTATGGCGCGAAGTTCCACGATGCTTCTCTAGCTGCAAAAAAATAAATAAAGCTTCAACCTTTGGGCGCGGCGTCGTCTACCGAATGTAGGGATTCTTTCCACTTTCTTTCTTCCAAATTTCCAATCGCCAAAATCTCACATATGTTTGCTTTACACACACATATATATTTCTCTCCTCTCCTCATTGGGTTTATAGGTTCATTCATTGAAACCCAGCAACGCCCAGATTTAGAAACTAGTGGCTGAAATACTTGGTCAGAACAATCTCTGTAAGTATGCAGCTCAACTGTTTGATTCAATGCCTTCAATGGGTTCTTCAATTTTCGGTGGATTTGTTTTTGTATAAAATTTTAAACTTTTTGGTGGGTTTTTGAATTTGGGTTTTGTTATGTTTTCAGTTACTTGTGCTTAATCCATATGTTTTGTTTCTTTTCTTTTATTGCACTTAGTTTTTCTACTAGTTTTTGGATAGATACCAAATGGGATGTAAAAAGTTTCAACCTTGGTGATGTTCTTGTGTTCTCTATTAAATCTTTGCTGATGAATCTGTAGATTTTCGTGTGTCGAAAAGTTAAGAAACATCTCAAGGGCTTATAAGGAGTTGGGTCATTCCCCCAATCGCGAATTGGTTTTGAGATTGGAACCTCATTTTCGCAACTTCGGGCATCTATGATAATCAGAACGTGTCATTGTGTTGTGTGTGATTTTTCTTGTATTCATTAATTCAACATGATGCAGATTCCTAGTTAAGATGGCTAATATGGTTTTCGTCCCTTAATCTAGTAAACCCACAGGAGGATTGCAATGGCAACTTGTATACCCGCGGGAAGTGGCAGACTCCACTGTAGAGTGAGAGACGTCAAGGGACAAGGTTGTAGAAGGACTTGTTGGATTGCCAGTGTTGCATTTAGTGGATGCATACAGAAAGACTTTTCATGGTATTTGGTTACTGCCTTGATCCTGTTTATAATCTATATATAAGTCTTTTGCTTCACTTTGAAGCTGTTGGAACTGCTCTTCCGCCATCTAGATTTTGGTTGTCTAATGCCATGCTTACACTTTTGTCCACATTTTTCCAGGTCACACGGGGTATCAAAGTTCTTGCAGATCCAAAGATGTAACTTTTCCCCATCTCCAATTAACGAGAACTCAAAGACCTTAAGAACAGTCACTTCATCGAGCTTGAGAGATGACTCCACCAAGTTTTTTGATTTTGCTGTCATTGGTAGTGGAGTTGCCGGGCTCCGCTATGCCCTTGAAGTGGCAAAACATGGATCTGTAGCCGTGATTACCAAGGCTGAACCTCATGAGAGCAATACAAACTATGCTCAAGGTGGTGTTAGTGCTGTTCTTTCCCTATCAGATTCTGTGGAGAGTCATGTCCAGGACACCATTGTAGCAGGGGCCTATCTCTGTGACGAGGAGACTGTCAGAGTATGTTATAGAACTAATAAGTTTTAGATAATAATTGATTGTTGTCAGTAGGTGTGTGTATGTACTTGTTCGTGCTTTTTTCTCAGGTTTGATATTTTGTCCAGGTTGTGTGTACAGAAGGACCTGAAAGAATTAGAGAATTAATTGCAATGGGGGCATCCTTTGATCACGGGGAGGATGGAAACTTGCACCTAGCAAGAGAGGGAGGTCACTCTCATCACAGGATTGTTCATGCTGCTGATATGACTGGAAGGGAGATTGAAAGGGCACTGTTGGAGGCCGTTCTTAAGGATCCTAAGATCTTCATGTTTGAACACCATCTTGCGATAGATTTGCTAACTTGTCAGGTTTAATTTTTTCTAATGTTTTGTTTGTATGAAAGTCTGATTGGATATTGGTTAACTAATTGATGGAAGTCTGTGAATACTTCTCCCTTTTTGCTAACAGAAAGATGATTTCTGGCAATGCAGGATGGTTCTGATACAGTTTGTCTTGGCGTTGACACTTTAAATACGGAAACACAAGAGGTGATTATAATTCACCACATATTCTCTAAGTTTTAGAGGGCAATAGTTTGCTAAAAGATATTTATACAATCATCATCTTCTCATCTTCCCTGCCTTGTTCGCTAATGGAAACATATTTCCTTGTTTAAGTTCTAACTTGCCTTATTTCGTACTTTCAGGTGATACGGTTTATCTCAAAGGTGACTTTACTTGCGTCAGGTGGGGCTGGACAAATCTATCCAACAACTACAAATCCTCTGGTACCTCATGTTTTGAAGTGCCCCTGTAATTGTTGTTTCCTTATATCGTACGATAAGATGCAATTGCTTATCTAAGTATTAAGAGATGGAAAATTATGGTCAGAGTTATGACCACTTCTCGGTCTGATTGTTCTTGATTATATCTTGTAGGTAGCCACAGGGGATGGAATTGCTATGGCCCATCGAGCTCAAGCTGTGATTTCCAACATGGAGTAAGTAAACATCTATCACTATTCACTACTTTGAAATGTTTTTGGGAGAAAATACTGTATTGCTTCAAATGTTGAGTAATCAATGAGTAGTACTAATATAGGTATAATGATCATGTGAGACAGTCGAAAGGTTCCAAAGATTTGAATAAGACATTTACGCCTTGATTTCACAACATTTCAGCTGACAAGGTTTTCTTCCACAATTGACTAAACATAACGCTGTGTCGTCGCCCAGACTGGAAATTAGTTTTCGAATGGTCTTCCACGGGCGAAAGCAATGTTTAAGCTACATGGTTGTTAAGTGTTATGTTATAGACTCTTGAGATTGTTAGCTAACACCCGTTTTATGGTTTTATGGTTCTGGTTTTCTCTACAGATTTGTTCAGTTCCATCCTACGGCCTTAGCTGACGAGGGCCTTCCTGTCCAACCTACCAAGGCTCGAGAAAATGCATTTCTCATTACTGAAGCTGTCAGGGGTGATGGAGGCATCCTGTACAATTTAGACATGGAAAGGTTCATGCCACTCTATGATGAACGAGCAGAACTTGCTCCGAGGGATGTGGTGGCAAGATGCATAGATGACCAGCTTAAAAAGCGAAATGAGAAGTACGTGCTACTTGATATAAGTCACAAGCCCAGAGAAAAAATCCTCTCACACTTCCCCAACATAGCAGCCGAGTGCCTTAAGTACGGCTTGGACATAACTCGCCAGCCAATTCCCGTTGTTCCTGCTGCTCACTATATGTGTGGGGGAGTCCGTGCTGGACTCCAGGGAGAGACAAATGTGCAGGGCCTGTTCGTGGCAGGTGAAGTTGCTTGCACGGGATTGCATGGAGCCAACCGTCTTGCTAGTAACTCATTGCTTGAAGCACTAGTTTTCGCACGAAGAGCGGTCCACCCCTCAATTGAACACATGAAGTGCTCTAGCCTCGACTTCAGCACTTCAGATTGGTGGGCCAGACCAGCCGTGCCTGTCTCACTCGAGAGCAATGCCATCGAAAAAATTTTGGCAATGACAAGGGAAGTAAGAAAAGAAGTGCAATCGATAATGTGGAAGTATGTTGGAATTGTACGTTCTACAACAAGGCTTGAAACAGCAAAGCAAAAGATTTGTGTTCTGGAGGATAAGTGGGAGGACTACTTATTTCAGATGGGATGGGAACCGACAATGGTGGGGCTCGAGGCTTGCGAAATGAGAAACTTCTTCTGTTGTGCAAAACTGGTGGTGAGCAGCGCCCTTGCTAGGCATGAGAGCCGCGGACTTCACTATACCATCGATTTTCCTGATCTTGAGGAGAGCAAGAGGCTTCCAACAGTTATACTCCCTTCTTCATCCGTGCGAACTTCATGGAGTTCGCGTCAACTACACAAGCTGCCATTGTGTTAGGAAGTGCAACTTTTTCGGCATCTGTTGAAATCATAGGGTTCTCAAGTTCTAGCTTACCTTCCAGAAACGTTTTGGCTAGGATTGAAGCATCCGAAATTCGAGCAGCATCTGTGAAAGCCGCACCAGGTTGTACCATTTTAGCTTTTGGTTTCTGATTCCTTTTTACCTTCTATACTAAGATTTCTTTCCAATAAAAGAAAGAAAACTTCATCAAAATATTCTTTCTTTCAAATAAAAGAAAGAAAACTTCATCAAAATATTAATGCAATAGTTTACAATTCAATTTCAATGTATATTTGCTGATCGACGAACATTTAAAAATGTAAATTATATCAACTGCAATCAGCATTCAGCTGAGAAAGTTAACTTTTTGTTTCAAATTTTTTTCAAAGTTTCCATTTTTACCCTCTGAATTTCTTCCCTCCAAATACTTTAGAGAGAGAGAGAGAGAGAGAGAGAGAGAGAGAGGGCCAAAAACAAAGAGGAAATGTTTAGATAATTGTTATTTAGCATTAAAAAATTCTCATTTTGCAAGTCGACTCAGTTGAGTGAAATATAGAGTGAAACGAGCGAATACCACTTGTTGAACACATGAACTCAAATGGTTATGGATAAATATTCTTAATCACTCGCATTCAAAATTGATTTTTTTTAGAAAAAATGGTTCATGAAATTGACATAGCTCATTTATTTGGTCTTTGAAAAAGAAAAGCGATTGAAGTGATATCTAAGTTTGTATATCGTAAATCATTTTGGTTATTTCATGGAAAATTTGTCAATATCCTTGTTAAGTGAAGGGATTGGTTTGACAAAAATACTCACGTGGTCGTTCACGTAATAGTTTAACGAGGATATTGACAAATTTCTCACAAATTGACCAAAATTATTTTACGATGGACAAATTTAAAAACCACTTATATTGATTTTCATTGTCAGGAACCAAAATTAAGAGAGATATCAATCTCAATGACGGGACTTGAAAAATCTTAAACATCCTTGCTGGAAAGAAAAATTACATTACCCATCCACATCTCTGTTGTGAATGATAAATGTGGTGCACCATGACGTCACTCTTTCTTCTTTTCCCAAAAACCAACTTTATGACAAAGAGGTTCCAACTTGCTACAAACAAACATGTTTTGGTCTGTCCATGAAGAAGATCTTCCATGCAATCCAATCCGATGACGTACTGTCATGCGTAAAAGCTAAAAACTACGTCGAGTAATTGGGATACCGTCACAACGATATTTTTGTTGTCGGTCACTGTAAACACTTTTGTGCCAATTTAAATCCAAGTGGTGTTGTAATCATCAATCTGCCATGGATTTTCTCAGGCTACTTTGTGCAGCTGTGCTTCTAGTTTTGGGGTTGCTGCTGGGAGGACAGAAGGCGGTGAATGGTGGTGCTGATGGCGGTTCCGGGAGTTGTTAGGGATGGACAACGGTTATGACGGACGGATAACCGTGGTTATTTACCCATAATTGTTTATCATACCCGCATAATCGTTGAGTAATTGCATAAACGGTTATACTCATACCCATAACCGTTTATAAATGATTAACCATACTTATAACTGTGTACCCATTACTTGGGTGGCACGTCAAAATTACTTTTGGCTTTTTGCTTACACAAGCATGAATGCCCGCGCTTTGCTGCGGGTTTTAAGAACACCGTTTAAGACAATACCATTAATTAATATATAAATAAGTTTTATAAATCAATATTTACATGTCTGGTGTTTGAGAAGGTAAATGAGCATCACATTCCAGTGATCAAAAGATAAAATGCTCATTATTCGAAATATTTAGATAGACTATGAACATGTTACAGAATCTAAATTTTCCTACTTCACTTGTTCCGGCTCATCTTCATCTTCATTATGTTGAGGTTTACGGTTTCAGCTAGTTCCTACAAATTCTGGAAAAAAAAAAAAGAGTTGTTAGTGCGGAAATATAAGAAAACAAAATGGGGACATATAAGTAAAACTGAGATAGAGTTCATTTGTGATCCTGAAGGTGCAAAAGAAATTTTTGTTTCCCTCTATTTTCATCTGTTCTATCAGATGCAATAAGACTAAAATAAGTGTATTGAAACCAACCCATTTTTCAAACTTCAGTCATACATCAAATATATCTCAGCGATACTAATTAGATAGAGTCAGAAGTTCAAATAAATCACTAGCAACAACAGTAAAAAACAAATGTGTATGTAAAAAACAAAAACAATAAATCACTTATAACCGTTACGATGATGATGTAATAATTTGCTGTGATTAATTTGATGAAGACACAATAGAACATATAAGTAAACAAATGGGGGACACAACCAAAGGTAAGATGGAGTTTTTTTATTTTATTATATGTATAATCTGTTTTTCATCTGCTCTATCAGATACAATGTGCGATAAAAGGAGTGCATTTAAATTAGAAATAGTTGGGTTAGGCATAATTGGACAAAGAAAAGGTCTTTACAAAAACGAAGAACTGCTTTATAATTGGACAAAGAAAGAGGAAGATAAGAAAACACAAAGAAAAGGCCTGAAAATTTTGGCAAAGATATTTTCAGCAAGTGAAAGAAAAACAGAGGCATTTCCAAACAAAAAGTTAATATCAATATGCAGTGAAAAGAAAGTACTGCCTGAGCAAGGGTAAAAAAAAAATCATAGACCTGAGCAGCAACGCAGAATTCATACGAATGCAATATTTTCCTTTCAAATGAAAACCTGTAGGAAAATAAAAAAAAACCAAATGAAAGGGCATGGCAAAAAAATTGAGGGGAAAAATAGATTAAAAAAGTAATTAAAAAAAAACAAAGAGGACGAATGATGTTGTCCAATGTACTTAATTTCTCTTAAGTATAAAGACAATTGTATATACTTCTTGACCAAATGAGAGAACATCAAATTCGAATGAACTAATAGAGGCATTAATCATAACGTGGGCATTCAAAGTTATCATTCTAAACTTGATGTAAAGTAACAGTTTATTTCCATTGGATAATTTGATTTCCCAAATTCAAATAAAATTAAAGAATACTAAACATTATTACACATCATCACAACATCAAATCCAAAAGTAGAATTGGGTAAACAAATGAGAGATTAGAAAAATACCTAAAAAATGGTGGCCTCGATAGTTGAAGAGGCGACAATAATTCACAAATAGAACCCAAAAGAAAATAGTCAGCCTAACTAAGAGGAAAATTATCGAACAAAACAAACAAAAAAAGAGAATCCAAAAGAAATTGCAGAAAACAAAATTCTTAGGATAAAGAAACCCACTTGGCCATTCAGTAGCAATTGGCACTTTAAGATAAGACAGTTGTATTTAAAAATAAATGATTAGATACGCACATTACTGTGTGAAGAGAGCTGGGACTTTTGCTAAACACACATATTGGTAAAAAATAAAACAAAATACTTGTACATGTTATTTTTTCGCTGCTTCATTATAGGTGAGAATATTATGAGATCAGTAGATGACATAATTAAAGGAACCCAATTCAACGCTTAAACCTAGCTTATCACTACGTTGAAATGACAAAGAAAATGCATATTATATTCATGCTTTCAGTCATTCATTAGATAGATGTCTTTGAATGCCATTGATGCCAATGATAGAGTTCATTACTCTACACATACAAATTGTTCAAAAAATTAAAGCATCTAAGTGCATTAAATGAAGATATATCTATATCTAAAGAGGAAGGCTTATCATGAGCTTCAGGAATCTGTAAAAGAAAGGTAAGTATATGAATTCTTAAAATAAAATTGAAATCGAGATTCTTATTTCTAAAAGAAATTGAAGACAAATTAAGATTAGTTTATAAATTGATAATATATTAAGATGAACTCTTCAAAGTGTGACTTCTGCTGCAATATTTTGATATAAAAAAAAAACCCCCATAATCATATTAATTAGGGTTTTTTTTTCATTGTTTCATGTACATCAAAATATATATGTTATAAATTATACTTGAGTATTATCACTGTATAAAAAAAATTACTAAACGAATATATCACATTTAAGTTTAAGTATGCGATTACGAAAATACTTTAAATGGTTCTTCAAATTATCATTGTTTACATCAAGAAATTAATGATATATCCTCTGTTTATATAATATATGTATCTTTGATTATAAAACCAATAGAACTTTTTACTATTGATCTTAGCATTAATAGAACAGATGAGAGCTAATGAGATAGAGCTAAGCTACTTCACCTCTTCCATAAGTCCACGTCTCCACCCAAGCCTAGACATCCCAACATTGCCCAAATAGGTGTGTCGTCCTGACCTGCAAGATTTACACAGAATTGGAAAATTGAAAGAGGTTTAAGCATGGACAAATTGTAAAACGCAAAACTTTATAGCACCAAATTGGATTGCAAGCAAGCACCAACCATCATTAATAAAAAGTGGGTACACAAAATTGGCAAGAGATAAAGTTGTTTCATGAAACACAGCTCTGAGCGACGGCGATCTTCGTTCCGGCGAGGAAATGTTACATGATCTCAAATCACCTTCAATTGGTAATTATGTAAAGAAAGAGTTACATGAAAATTCACATATATATATATTATTATTTTAACATAAAAATGTTCATTTTTATTGATTTCAACTAAAATTTAAAAAATAAAATAAAAAATAAAAAAATTTCAAAAATAAAAGTAAACTTCAACTGAAATGTATAGATTATCTTCAATCATTTGTAACCATATAGAGGTATTGAAGGAACGATACACATGAAAACTCATATGCATTCTATACACAACATAAATTCACTTGGAATTTACTGTTAAGCCAAGCTACTAAGAAATTGGAACTTATTTTATAAAATAATTAACCTTTTTTCAAGTTGAAGCAGCTCCAATGCTGGGGTTGGTGACCTCGAGCATTGTGGCAACTCTTCTGTTCTCATCATAAAAAAATGGTTCCTTTTTATAAAGAGATTATCATCAATGTATTGCTGCTCAACACCCAAATCATCAAATGTGAGACAAAACAAATTCTAATCTTTAAAAAGAATTCCACGAAATAAATAATGTCTTTATCAAATTTTTAATTAATTACAGCAAAACCCAAAAATTTAAAAAGTTTTAATAACCTTACATGACCACTCATCAGCAAGGTCAGGGCAGCAAAACCGAACAAACCCAAAATATTCGTATAAATCCCACAGAAAAAAAAAATCCATTTGAAAAAACCTACAAACAACAAATAATTCAGTACTTTTTTTATACGAATTTGAACGGAGCTATAGAACATTCCAATTGAAGCGAGAAACCTCAGTGAAAATAGTCGAGGAAGCCACGTCAATCTCAAGAAGCAAAGAAAATTAGGGATTCTTTCCTGACTCCAAATCATCCTTAGACGCCGTTACTGTTTAAAAAAACAAAAAACAAATTAGGGATTTTTCAGTCAAGAAAAAGAGAAAATTAAAGATGTAATGCTCTGTTAAAAGATTATGAAAGAAGAACGGTCCATTCAACACCAAAAGCAAGGCAGAAAAACGGAAGAGATATTTTGTCAGTGGCAGAAACGAAATAAACAAAACTAAGAAGGGTATATTTGTGTTAGCCGCCGCTGCATACATTTCGCTGAAATCTTGACATCTTGACGGACAAGTTTCGAGTTTCCTTTTGGTAATCGATATACGTATGCTCTTACGCCATCGATCAATTGACCACCAAGCCGTATGCTCTTTACGCCATCACTTCACCACCACGCCAGCTCTGTTGTTTATGTGTATGATACAAGCTTAGCTTACTTATCAGTTCGCTTAATCTGCTTACACAAATGGCAGGAGGAGCAGGAATAGTGAAGAGGATGAAGTTGGGTTCACAAGGCCTCGAGGTGTCGGCTCAAGGCCTTGGCTGCATGGGCATGTCCGCCTTCTACGGCGCTCCAAAACCCGACCATGAAATGATCAGTCTCATCCACCATGCCATTAACAGCGGGGTCACCTTCCTTGATACCTCTGACTTCTACGGTCCCTTCACCAACGAAATCCTTCTTGGTAAGGTAGGTAGCCCATGTTGTTCGTTATGATTTGCGTTTACTTTAAATTGTAATCCATCTTAGCTCGTATTGTATTGATAGATTTTCCGGTTTGTTTGGATTAAACGTTGAATTGGTGATGAACTCAAGTAGGTTCGATCGGTCTACATCCTGTTTTGATGTTACCAAATCAAGCACTAGCACTGAGAGAGGCAATACTGTATATAACTGCTTTCTGGGTTTTGTTTTGATTAATGTTGAATGGAATGAACTGATGACGAAGTGAATTTGGGATCTTCACTCCTGTAGTCTTGTTCCTGTATTTAATTGAATTAACTGAATGGAACACAGGCACTGAGTGAATTTGGTTAATTGGTTTGCTTGGGAGGGCTAAACTGGTAGCCAAAAGAGTTTCTGAATGCGTAGCCAAAAGATTATGTCACTGCGTTTTTGCAAAACAATTTAAAAAGTGCTTATGGCTCATTTAAGTGTTTTCAGAAGAAGCATATGTCATATGCTTTTTCAGGAAGCAATTCCAAGTGATTTTCTAGGAAACACTTGATTTTTTTAGTAAGAATTTTTGACTTCTTTATAGTAAAAAGACCTTATGAAAAAAAAATGCTTGTGAGCAGAAGTGCTTCTTAAATCTTATAGAAGCAACCCCAAATGAGATTGTTGCTTTGGTGTATTGAGTTCTCTGATGATAACATGAATTGGGTTTATGTTCACTATATTGTTGCATTTAATTTAACTGAATTTACTGAACCATGAACATGGTATTTGGGTTTTGTTTTGGATTAATGTCGAATTAAGTAAACTGGTTATGAAATGAACTGGCTTTTGTGGGATTGATGAGGAGCAGGCTCTCGAGGGAGGGGTACGAGACAAGGTTGAATTGGCCACCAAGTTAGGTCTCAAATTTGTGGATAACAAGATAGAGGTGCATGGTGACCCTGCTTATGTGAGAGCTGCTCTCGAGAGTAGCTTGAAGCGCCTTGGTGTTGATTCTATTGATCTCTATTATCAGCTTCGCATTGACACCTCCGTCCCCATTGAAGTCACGGTTTGTCTTCTTCCCTCTTGAATTTTGATCTCCTTTTAATTACAAACATAGAACAATATGCATCTGCGTCTGCGATTCTACAGGCCTAGTAAAGTTATGGTTATTTCACTGACTCACAGCATCCTGTATCCCTTTGTTACGTCGCATATTTTATCCTCAATTTCGTTTCATTTCTTAGCGTCCATATGTATTTTTCTCGTTTGTAATGGCATGCATCATGATTCACTTATTTTGCTGAATGCTTGCCGTCCCTTAAATTCCTTTATTATGTCTTATACAAGGTTGGGGAACTGAAGAAATTAGTTGAAGAGGGTAAGGTAAAGTACATTGGGTCTATCCGAGGCCTCAGCTTCAACGATAAGAAGAGCCCATGCTGTTCATCCTATAACAGCTGTGCAGTTGGAGTGGTCCTTGTGGTCAAGAGATGTCGAGCAAGAAATAATTCCTACTTGTCGGTGAGGTTCACTGAAACAACGTAACTTGTTTACCAAGGCCGAAGTAATATTGTTAATTCTGATCTTAGTTTCCTAAACTTACCAGGGAGCTTGGCATTGGTATTGTTGCGTATAGTCCTTTAGGAAGAGGATTCTTCACATCAGGTGCTAAGTTTGTCGAAAACCTTGCCCACGATGATTCCCGAAAGGTTTGTCAATGTCACAAAATTTTACATTATAAAGTTAAAAGTGCTTCTCGGTCATAGAAGCATTTTTTGAAAGAACGAACATGCCATATGCTTCTTCAGGAAGCAAGCACTTGAATTTTTAATAAAAATTATTAACGTCTTTGTAATGAAAGCGTTTAACAGCAGAAGCACTTAAGAGCTAAAGTGCTTTCATTCATTGGCTGCAGAATCTACCGAGGTTCCAACCCGAAAATGTAGAGCACAACAAAACACTATTCGAGCGAGTTAGTGATCTTGCAGCAAGGAAAGGGTGCACGCCATCTCAGCTAGCATTGGCCTGGGTTCATCACCAAGGGAATGATGTGTGTCCTATCCCCGGAACCACCAAGATTGCGAATTTTGACCAGAATATCGCAGCTCTGTCTGTTAAACTGACACCGGAAGAGTTGGCTGAGCTTGAATCTTATGCTTCAGCAGATGCCGTTAAAGGTGATAGATATCCGAACTACTGTAGCACTTGGACGGACACCGATACTCCGCCACAGTCTTCGTCAAACTTCTAAAAAACATTAGGAACTAGTTGAGCGGTGGGCAACAGCATTGCACCTAGTATTCTAGGCAGGGGCTAGTCGAGTCTTTTTTGTCTTAATTGAATATATCATATAACAATAAAAACATCACTCACATAGTTCTACTTAATATATATATATATATATATATATATATATATATATATATATATATAATGTTATAAATAAGATTTATTATGTGGTTGTTCACATTCTGGATCATTATGTAATATCTCAATAGTTGAACACATTTCTATGTAAATCCTACATATCACTATTCTCTATTTTCTCTAAATTTATTTCTAACATGTTGTCAGCTTGCGTTTATTATATTTATTCTGAACTAGAGTCGTAATGTGATTTAGAGTTTCTTATACTCAACCATTGAACTTCACCATGCTCAAAGTTGTTAGTTCTTTTTTTACAAATTTTAATCGAGCGTTGAATTTATTTTGGTATGAATTACTTTGGAATGCTCGCGATTGTTATCCCACCTTGTTATATATGTGCGTGTTGGTAAAACTTGGAAGATATTGCTGTTTGTCTTTCTCCACCAAGCCTTGCAACACACGATCAACATGAATCTATAGCATGTATATCTTATTTCTTTGCTTTTTATTATTCTATGAATTATGTCAATGCAAAGGCCTCTTAATATTTTCTTTAACCGGTTATGCATCAATACATGACATAAACATTTTTTTTTAATAAACGATATTATCTACATTAAGGACGAGGGATGAGTTTAGCCTCACAATGAGCTAGCAATAATACAGTTCAAATTCGCTTTTGGTGAGAATCGAACCTAAAACCTTACTTACAAATAAAAATGAATATCATTAAATCGCAATACTATGTGACACGACATAAAACATATATATATATATATATATATTTTTTTTTTTTTTAAAAAGGGACAACTGATGGCAAGCCACGGTTATTCATCCCTTCCACAGGGACTGGGAAGATTTACAAAGGTATTTTAGCCCCCTGGCCACAAGTCTAGCTTTTACACTAGCAACGGGTTTCGAATTCGAGACCTCCAATTTTTAGTTTTAAGAAAGCCTCGTACTATTCGCTTTAGTTATAAGCAAATATACAAATACTATCCAATTAAGATATTTTATTACAAAAACAAGAATAATTTGAGTACATTGATATTTTTACACTAAGAGGAATGAGAGTTCAGCTAAGCCACATAATTGGCAACCTACCTCTCACTAATAAATTGAAGAGGAAAACCACTAGATAGAAGTATTGAGTAGCAACAAGAAAGATATTTTGAATTATGTTATTTGTGGTTTTCCGAGAAGGAACACAAACCCTAAAATTTTGGAAAGCTTTGCGTAAAGAACCTGGACAATAGGATCTCTCCTATTTTGGGGATTTGGATTCCATCCCTGCCAACGTGTCCCAAATAAATTAAGAATTGTGCTAGCCATATACCTATTTTTACTTCTCAATTTTTTTTTTAATTTTTGGTCGTTGAATCGGATGAATCGAAGAAGATTAATAGTTAAAAATTAACAAAAGTGTGTAAATGTAAGAATGAGTGTGTAAATAACGATTTTCTGAAAATAAAACAGAAAAGTAAGTACCTCTCACTTCTCCAATCTTCCTCCTCAAAGTCTCACTCACATGCACTGACTCATCATCTCGGCTTCCAAACCCAAGCCTCACTCGCTCTCTCCCTCTCTCTTGTAAATAAGTGGGAGGACTACTTATTTCAGATGGGATGGGAATCCACAATGGTGGGGCTCGAGGCTTGCGAAATGAGAAACTTCCTCTGTTGTGCGAAACTGGTGGTGAGCAGTGCCCTTGCTAGGCATGAGAGCCGCGGACTTCACTATACCATCGATTTTCCTGATCTTGAGGAGAGCAAGAGGCTTCCAACAGTTATACTCCCTTCTTCATCCGTGCGAACTTCATGGAGTTCGCGTCAACTACACAAGCTGCCATTGTGTTGGGAAGTGCAACTTTTTCGGCATCTGTTGAAATCATAGCGTCTCAAGTTTTAGCTTCCCTTCCAGAACCGTTTTGGCTAGGATTGAAGCATCCGAAATTCGAGCAGCATCTGTGAAAGCCGCACCAGGTTGCACCAGTTTATCAAAATATTAATGAAATAGTTTACAATTCAATTTGAATGTATATTTGCTGATCGACGAACAGTGAAAAATGTAAATTTATCTACTGCAATCAGCATTCAGCTGAGAAAGTCAAATTTTTGTTTCAAATTTTTTCCAAAGTTTCCCTTTTTTCCCCTCTGAACTTCTTCCCTCCAAATACTTTAGAGAGAGAGAGGGCCAAAAACAAAAAGGAAATGCTTAGAGAATTGTTATTTAGCTCTAAAAAAATTTCATTTTGCAAGTCGACTCAGTCGAGTGAAATATCGAGTGAAACGAGCGAGTACCACTTGATGAACACATGAACTCGAATCGTTATGGATAAATATTCTTAATCACTCACATTCAAAATCGATTTTTTTTAGCAAAAATGGTTCATGAGATTGGCATAACTCATTTCTTTGGTATTTGAAAAAGAAAATCGATAGAAGTGATCTCTGAGTTTGTCCATTGTAAATCATTTTGGTTATTTCATTGAAAATTTGTCAATCTCCTCATTAAGTGAAGGGATTGATTTGACAAAAATACTCACGTGGTTGTTCATGTAATAGTTTAACGAGGATGTTGACAAATTACTCACGATTTGACCAAAATAATTTTTCGGTGGACAAATTTAGGGACTACTTATATTGATTTTCATTGTCAGAAATCAAAATTAAGAGTTATATCACTCTCAATGAACATTTTGACTTGAAAATCTTAAACATCTGTAAAGAAAACAAATTCAATCCATGTAGTGATAAATGTGGTGCACCATGGCGTCACTCTTATCTTCTTTTCCTAAAAACCAACTTTATGACAAGAGGGTCCAACTTGCAACAAAAAACATGTTTTGGTCTGTCCATGAAAAAGATCTTTCATGCAATCCAATCCGATGACGTACTGTCACGCGTAAAAGCTAAAAATTATGTCGATAAGTGATTAATTGGGATACCGCTACAACAAAGTAAAGCTTCTAAAAAATAAAAAGTAGTCATTATCTTGAATATTAGATGATTCAAAGCTCCAAAATATTCTAAAATTAAACACTTTCTAACACTAATGCTTTAGCACATTCAATCACAAAATCTCATCGACTCATTGTAACCAAAAGAGACCTACAAAAGAAATGCATAAATTGAATTAGTATCCCATTTAGGAACACCGACACCAATTAACATGAATCTAACAGAGGTAAGTGATTACAGAAGGTTTACATTGTACACTCAGTTATTAGAAAAAGAAAAAAAAAAAAAGAGCATACAAAAGGGGAGGGACCAGGATCCTCTCCTGAGCTAAGGATGAGGATCCTCCTCATCAAGGGATATGGACCGTTGGATCCAACGGTTACAAACAGGGGGGTCCTTTTAAAGTTATAATAATTGTAGCCGTTGGATTTTCATCCAACGGCCCACACCCTTTGATGAGGAGGATCCTCATCCTTAGCTCAGGAGAGGATTCTGGTCCAAAGTGGAGTACCAAATCAATTGAGTTAGATGAACGACGAAGATGAGAGAGAGGGCAGCGAGGAGGGAGAGATGAGCGGGGGACGGGGCGTTTGAGACTTTGAGTCTGACGAAGAGATTGAAAATTTAGGGTTTTTAATTTTTTTTTTAATTTTACATATCTTAAATTAAATGAGTAAATGGATACCCGTTATAACCGTGGGTAATACCCATAATTGATGGATACCCATTATAACCGCGGCTAATACCCATAACCGCCAATTTAAATTTCATGGATAAACGGTTATACTCATAACCGTTTGTTTGTCTAAGCGGTTATCCATAACAGTAACCGTGAACTTTAAATGAGTATGTAACCGCGATTACCCAAACCCATGGGTATTTTGCCCATCCCTATGTATGATAACCAAATTCATATAGTAATATGATCTAGTGCTAGACCCATCCACTTATAAGTGAAAACGTCTTAGGTTTGAATTTGCTAGTTCGATACCAATTTTGTTATGGTTGATTGGTTCTATGGCTTAATCCAAATCTCTCATCCTTTAGTGTAAATATATCGTTGTATCAAAAGAAAAAATTTATCATCCTCTGTTATAGAAATTAACTAGACATTAATGAACACTTTAGCTTCTTTAAGTTATATTGACACCGTTGGAAAATGCATGTTTCAACCTACATCGAAAATTAGAAAACAAAACCTAGTTTTGGTTTCTTCCCAGGCAATCTCGTATTTTGGTTTTAATCTACTGAAACTGGAAGTCAAAACAATCGAAGCTAAGACGCAACCATGTCCAAAATTAAGTGAAAAAAAGTTCAAAGTTTGATACACAACACGAGGAAATTTGAGCACAAAATGTCTGTTGTCTTAAGCTCAACCATAAAAAGATAATGATCTGGTTTGGTATTGCTTTGAAAAAATACTAATTTTGTTGTGCCGTAAGAATAAACTCATTTTTGCTGCTTCACATTTTCAGCTTTTTTTCATCCAAAACTGTGAAAATAAGCTGTTTTTAAGTGTTTACCAAACATCTTTTTAAACTCAATTTTTTTATATCTACTTTTTATAAAAGCACATCAGTACCAAATAAGTACTTACGAGTAGTAGTAAAGGCTCCAAGCCTCCAAACTATTATAAAAACAATAGTGATATTTTATCGTCCAAAACTGACATACTTACTAACTTTCTATAATAAAGGTAGGCTCTACCATTATAAGTGGGATCTACCTGCATTAAAAAATATCAGTGTGTCAGTTTTGGTATATATAAATAACATTACTCAATACTAACTGATATCATAGTATATCGTTAATTCTTTTGTGCGTCCTTCTGAAGCTCATTTATTTGGTTTTGATTTCAATAGATAAGCTTACCAAGTAATTCGACTTTTTAAACAACCTTCACTTTTTGAATTTTAAAGTTAATCTTCACCATTCATTTTCTAAATTATTCGTGTCTTCAAGACTATTGAAAAAAAAATTACATTTCTTTTGTCATATCGTGTGTCACATCATTTAGAATAAGTGTCCGTTTACTCTCGTGAACATTTGAGATCAGACTTGGGTGGCACGTCGAAATTACTCTGGCTTTTTGCTTACATTTACTAGTTGCACGAATGTAAATGGTACGGGTATCGTTAGCCGCCGCTGCATACATTTCACTGAAAAATCTTGCATCTTGACAGACAAGTTTCGAGTTTCCTTTTGGTAATCGATATACGTATGCTCTTACGCCATCAGTTGACAACCAAGCCGTATGCTCTTACGCCATCACTTCACCACCACGCCAACTCTGTTGTTTATATATATGATACAAGCTTAGCTTACTTATCAGTTCACTTAATCTGCTTACACAAATGGCAGGAGGAGCAGGAATAGTGAAGAGGATGAAGTTGGGTTCACAAGGCCTCGAGGTGTCGGCTCAAGGCCTTGGCTGCATGGGCATGTCCGCCTTCTACGGCGCTCCAAAGCCCGACCAAGACATGATCAGTCTCATCCACCATGCCATTAACAGCGGGGTCACCTTCCTTGATACCTCTGACATCTACGGTCCCTTCACCAACGAAATCCTTCTTGGCAAGGTAGGTAGCCGCCATATTGTTGGTTATGATTTGCGTTTACTTTAAATTGTAATCCATCTTAACTCGTATTGTATTGATAGATTTTCCGGTTTGTTTGGATTAAATGTTGAATTGGTGATGAACTCAAGTAGGTTCGATCAGTCTACATCCTGTTTTGATGTTACCAATTTAAAAAGACTGTGACTGCGTTTTTGCAAAACAATTTAAAAAGTGCTTATGGCTCATTTAAGTGTTTTCAGGAGAAGCGTATGTCATATGCTTTTTTTGGAAGCAATTCCAAGTGATTTTCTAGGAAACACTTGATTTTTTTAATAAGAATTTTGACTTCTTTATAGTAAAAGACCTTATGAAAAAAAAAATGTTTGTGAGCAGAAGTGCTTCTTATAGAAGCAACCCCAAATGAGATTGTTGCTTTGTTGTATTGAGTTCGCTGATGAAAACATGAATTGGGCTTATGTTCACTATATTGTTGCATTAATTTAACTGAATTTACTGAACCATGAACATGGTATTTGGGTTTTGTTTTGGATTAATGTCGAATAAGTAAACTGGTTATGAAATGAACTGGCTTTTGTGGGATTGATGAGGAGCAGGCTCTCAAGGGAGGGGTACGAGACAAGGTTGAATTGGCCACCAAGTTTGGTCTCAGATTTGTGGAGAACAAGATGGAGGTGGGGAAAAACATGGAGGTGCAAGGTGACCCTGCTTATGTGAGAGCTGCTCTCGAGAGTAGCTTGAAGCGCCTTGGTGTTGATTCTATTGATCTCTATTATCAGCATCGCATTGACACCTCCGTCCCCGTTGAAGTCACGGTTTGTCTTCTTCCCTCTTGAATTTTGATCTCCTTTTAATTACAAACATAGAACAATATGCATCTGCGTCTGCGATTCTACGGGCCTAGTAAAGTTATGGTTATTTCACCGACTCACAGCTTCCTGTATCCCTTTGTTAAGTCGCATATTTTATCCTCAATTTCGTTTCATTTCGTAGTGTCCATATGTATTTTTCTCAATGGCATGCATCATGATTCACTTATTTTGCTGAATGCTTGCCGTCCCTTAAATTCCTTTATTATGTCTTATACAAGGTTGGGGAACTGAAGAAATTAGTTGAAGAGGGTAAGGTAAAGTACATTGGTCTATCTGAGGCTTCAGCTTCAACGATAAGAAGAGCCCATGCTGTTCATCCTATAACAGCTGTGCAGTTGGAGTGGTCCTTGTGGTCAAGAGATGTCGAGCAAGAAATAATTCCTACTTGTCGGTGAGGTTCACTGAAACAACGTAACTTGTTTACCAAGTCCGAAGTAATTGTTAATTCTGATCTTAGTTTCCTAAACTTACCAGGGAGCTTGGAATTGGCATTGTTGCGTATAGTCCTTTAGGAAGAGGATTCTTCGCATCAGGTGCTAAGTTTGTCGAAAACCTTGCCCACGGTGATTCCCGAAAGGTTTGTCAATGTCACAAAATTTTTCATTCTGAAGTTAAAAGTGCCTCTCCGTCATAGAAGCATTTTTTGAAAGAATGAACATGCCAGATGCTTCTTCAGGAAGCAAGCACTTGAATTTTTAATAAAAATTATTAACTTCTTTGTAATGAAAGCGTTTAACAGCGGAAGCACTTAAGAGCTGAACTGACGTGCTTTCATTCATTGGCTGCAGAATCTACCGAGGTTCCAACCCGAAAATGTAGAGCACAACAAAACACTATTCGAGCGAGTTAGTGATCTTGCTGCAAGGAAAGGGTGCACACCATCTCAGCTAGCATTGGCCTGGGTTCATCACCAAGGAAATGATGTGTGTCCTATCCCCGGAACCACCAAGATTGCGAACTTTGACCAGAATATCGCAGCTCTGTCTGTTAAACTGACACCGGAAGAGTTGGCTGAGCTTGAATCTTATGCTTCAGTAGATGCCGTTAAAGGTGAAAGATATCCGAACTATTATAGCACTTGGTCGAACTCCGAAACTCCGCCACTGTCTTCGTCAAACTTCTAAAAAGCATCAGGAACTAGTTGAGCGGTGGGCAGCAGGGATCAGGATCCTCTCCTGAGCAGATGGAGAGATCCTCCTGACCAGGCCCATCAGGCCGTTCATTTTTTATCCAACGGCTACAAACAGGGGATCTCTCTAAAGTTATAATAATTATAACCGTTGGATAAAAAATAAACGGCCCGATGGGCCTGGTCAGGAGGATCCTCTCCATCTGCTCAGGAGAGGATCCTGGTCCGGGCAGCAGCATTGCACCTACTATTCTAGGCAGGGGCCTAGTCGAGTTTTTTTTGTCTTAATTAAATATATCATATAACAATAAAAACATTACTCACATAGTTCTACTTAATATATATATATATATATATATATATAGAAAATGTTATAAATAAGATTTATCATGTAATTGTTCACATTCCAGATCAATATGTAATATCTCAATAGTTGAACACATTTCTACGTAAATCCTACGCTCATAAATTGACAATCTAATAAGAAGGAAACATATCCTGATTCTCCTCCACTTTCTCTCATGTCTCATTATTCTCTATTTTTTCTAATTTTATTTCTAACATGTTATCAGCACGCGTTTATTATATTTATTCTGAACTAGAGTCATAATGTGATTTTAGAGTTTCTTATACTCGACCATTGGACTTCACCATGCTCAAAGTTGTTAGTTTTGTTTTTTACAAATATTAATCGAGCGTTGAATTTATTTTGGTATGAATTAATTTGGAATGCTCGCGATTGTTATCCCACCTTGTTATATGTGTGCGTGTTGGTAAAACTTGGAAGATATTGCTGTTTGTCTTTCTCCACCAAGCCTTGCAACACACGATCAACATGAATCTATAGCATGTATATCTGATTTCTTTGCTTTTTATTATTCTATGAATTATGTCAATGCAAAGGCTATTAAACCACAATACTAGATGGCATGACATAAACATAAATAAATAAATAAATAATATATATATATAATTTTTTTTTTTAAAGGGACAACTAGTGGCAAGTTATTCATCATTTCCAGGAGCTAGGAAGACTTACAAGGGCATTTTAGCCTCTTCTGGCCACAAGTCTAGCTTCTACACCAGCAGCGAGTTTCGAATCCGTGACCTCTAATTTTTAGTTTTAAGGAAGCCTCGTACTATTCGCTTTAGTTATAAGCAAATATACAAATACTATCCAATTAAGATATTTTATTACAAAAAAAAAAAGAATAATTTGAGTACATCAATATTTTTACACTAAGAGGATGTGGAGTTCAGCTAAGCTACATAATGGGCAGCCTACCTCTCATTTCTAATTGAAGATGAATACCACCAGACGGAAGTATTGAGTGGCAACAAGAAAGATATTTTGAATTATGTTATTCGTGGTTTTCCGAGAAGGAACACAAACCCTAAAATTTTGGAAAGCTTTGCGTAAAGAACCCGAACAATAGGATCTCTCCTATTTTGGGGATTTGGATTTGATCTCTGCCACATGTCCCAAATAAATTAAGAATTGTGCTAGCCATATACCTATTTTTACTTCTCAATTTTTTTTTAATTTTTTGATCGTCGAATCGAATGAATGGAAAAAGATTAATGGTTAAAAATTAACAAAAAAATGTAAATGTAAGAATGAGTGTGTGAATAATGATTTTCTGAAAATAAAACAGAAAAGTAAGTACCTCTCACTTCTCCTCCAATCTTCCTCCTCAACGTCTCACTCACATGCAATGACTCATCATCTCTGCTTCCAAACCCAAGCCTCACTCCCTCTCTCCCTCTCTCTTGTAAATTTTGCTTTGGCATTTTGTCGAATGGATTGCGTACTTGTCACTTTCCAGCCATATACAACTTTGGGGACTCAAACTCTGACACTGGGGCTATCTCAGCTGCCATATCCGAAGTTCCTCCTCCTAATGGTGAAACCTTCTTTGGAAAACCATTCGGGCCCTTGTCTGATGGCCGTTTTATAATCGACTTTATTGGTAATTAAGGGTCTCTCTCATAACCATTTCGTATTTAGTTTCTAATTTTTTTTTTGGTCGAATAATGTTTATCTGTTTCTAAACGTTGTGCAGCTGAGAAATTGTAGATACCATATCTTAGTCCATATCTGGACTCACTTGGGACTAATTTCCGGCATGGTGCGAATTTCGCAACTGGTGGTTCATTGATTAGGCCAGGCGGTTATAGTCCGTTTCATCTTGGCATTAAAAAATTCTCATTTTGCAAGTCGACTCAGTTGAGTGAAATATAGAGTGAAATGAGCGAGTACCACTTGATGAACACATGAACTCGAATGGTTATGGATAAATATTCTTAATCACTCGCATTGAAAACAAATTTTTTAGCAAAAATAGTTCATGATTGACATAACTCTTTTCTTTGGTCTTTAAAAAAGAAAATTGATAGAAGTGATCCCTGAGTTTGTCCATCGTAAATTATTTTGGTCATTTCATGGAAAATCTGTCAATATCCTCGTTAAGTGGAGGGATTGGTTTGACAAAAATACTCTTAAAAGGTGGTCACATGGTCGTTCACGTAATAGTTTAACGAGGATATGACAAATTTCTCACGAATTGACCAAAATGATTTTACGATGAAAGCTAAGTTCAAGTAAATTGCGGAGAATCGAGCTATAGTGCAAAAATGGCTAATCAATTCATAATTTTCGACTCCTTATTAAGAATAACCCATTTTATTGAAATAGGTCTGATCCATGAGTTTAAGATTATTATTTCTTCTTCTACATGCTTTAAACCCGATTCATAACTTTTTCTTATAATCAACCCATTTCACATACTAATTGTATTATGTTTTTGTACATTTTACCCTATATTATGCAGGTGAATTTATGTTAATTTTAGTACTTTGTTGGAAGTTATTAGAAAGATTGAAAGAAAAAAAAAGAATAGATGGAAAATTAAAAAAAAATAACAGTAGGGTGCAAATTGACTAATTATGATAGTTGAGGAGGGAAATTGACTAATTATGATAGTTGAGGGGGAAATTGGCCAAAATTAAAGTTGAGGGGGGAAATTGGCCAATGGTCACAAGTTCAGGGGGGAATTGATGAATACCTCAAATGATTTTACGGTGGACAATTTATATCGATTTTCATTATCCGAAACTAACATTAAGAATTATGTCAATCTCAATGATCATTTTGACTTAAAAAATCTTAAACATCCTTGCTGTAAAGAAAAATTACATTACTCATCCACATGTGAACAAATTCAATCTCTGTAGTGATAAATGTGGTGCACCATGACGTCACTCTTATCTTCTTTTCCTAAAAACCAACTTTATGACGAGAGGGCCCAACTTGCTACAAACAAACATGTTTTGGTCTGTCCATGAAGAAGATCTTCCATGCAATCCAATCCGATGGCGTACTGTCACGCGTAAAAGCTAAAAACTATGTCGATAAGTGATTAATTGGGATACCGCCCCAACGACATTTTTGTTGTCGGTCACTGTAAAGACTTTTGTGCCAATTTAAATCCAAGTGGTGTTGTAATCATCAATCTGCCATGGATTTTCCCAGGCTACTTTGTGCAGCTGTGCTTCTTGTTTTGGGGTTGCTGCTGGGCGGACAGAAGGCGGTGAATGGTGGTGCTGATGGCGGTTCCGGGAGTTGTCGCTTTCCAGCCATTTACAACTTTGGGGACTCAAACTCTGACACTGGGGCTATCTCAGCTGCCATATCCGAAGTTCCTCCTCCTAATGGTGAAACCTTCTTTGGAAAACCTTCCGGGCGCTTGTCTGATGGCCGTCTTATAATCGACTTTATCGGTAATTAAGGGTCTCTTTGATTAACCATTTCGTTTTTAGTTTCTAATTATTATTTTTTTTGGTCGAATAATGTTTATATGTTTCTAAACTTTGTGCAGCTGAGAAGTTGCAGATACCATATCTTAGTCCATACCTGGACTCACTTGGGACTAATTTCCTGCATGGTGCGAATTTCGCAACCGGTGGTTCATCGGTTAGGCCGGGCGGTTATAGTCCGTTTCATCTTGGCATTCAAATTTCCCAGTTCATAAGATTCAAGTCTCACAGCATTGCTCTCTATAAACAACTTCATTCAACCAGTCAGTCTTCTCTCCTAAACCTCTATTATTTCGGACACATTTGGTCTTTATGATTGGACCGGATTGGATAATTCACTAGATTTAAGGTATGTTCGGTAAGCAATGACGGCCAATTCCTTGTTCTGTCCGAATTGAAGGAATTAATGGATCGGTTATAAGGTGTTTTGACGTTTGTTTCTTCCTTCGATATATCTTGAATCTAGCAAGTTATCCAGTTCAGTTCAATCTCACACATCAAATGTATGCTACCTAAATGTTCTATGCTACGAGATAAAACTCATGCGCTTGGAAACGGAAATTTTGGCACCAGGAAGACTACCTAGGCCGGAGGACTTCCCGAAGGCTCTCTACACTTTCGATATTGGTCAGAATGATCTGGCCTACGGCATCCAACACGGGACGATAGAAGAAGTTAGAGCCTCCATTCCTGCCATCCTGAGCCAGTTATCGCAAGCAATATCCGTAGGTGCACTAAAACAGCGTTTACTTTGGACGTGACCAAAACATTGAGATATACTAATTCAATGTGCCACATTTTTCAGCAACTATACAAGGAAGGAGCTAGGTTTTTCTGGGTGCATAACACAGGCCCTCAAGGATGCTTGCCCTATAGCGTTATTTACGACAAATCGAAGCCTGGTAATCTGGACAAGAGCGGCTGCGTGAAGCCTCTCAATGCGGTGGCTCAGGAGTTCAACCGGCAGCTTAAGAACAGCATAATGCTGTTGAGATCACTGCTCCCTCTTGCAGCATTCACGTACGTCGATGTGTACTCAGCTAAATACACTCTCATTTCTGATGCTAAAAAACAAGGTAACTTCAAAAACCATTTATAACATGTGCATAGCCTCGTATGAACGTATGGTAATGTGATAGAAATTCGTGATTCACCAGGTTTTGTTGATCCTTTCGACTTTTGCTGCGGCAGTTACTACGGATTCCACATTGATTGCGGAAGGAAAGCCGTGGTGAATGGAACTGTGTATGGCAATCCTTGCAGCAGTCCGACAACGCATATCAGTTGGGATGGGATACACTACTCCCAGGCCGCCAATGCACTGATTGCCAGTCGCATTCTCAACGGCTCACTCTCTGACCCCCCGGTTTCAATCACGCACGCTTGTCATAGTTCCAAGAATACATGAGCACGTTCATGAATCATTAACCACAGCTTGTTTGATCGAAAACCATTAAGTATACTACTAATCAATAATTGTTATCTCAATCAATCGAAAACCGTTTAGTTATGGAAATGGAAAAGATCAGTCAAGGTTTGTTTTAGCCTTTTTAGCTTGTTTGTCCACTAGGAAGCTTCAAATCGGAAGTGCTTTTGAGAAGGCAAGTGCTTTCAAGCCCTGCAAACATCTTCAGATGTTCATATTTCACCTCGGAAACAATTGCAGCCCAGCTGCTGCGACAAGCTTTTGACTTCTAAGTAAAGTTTTAAACCTAAACAGTTCGGATCATCAAAATACAATGTGGAATGAACTCTACAGAGGAAAACGATACTCCGCTAACCGGCATTTTGGTGCACCGAAATATGAAAATGATGCTCCACCAATTCTTTGTTGAGTATATGACATTGATACAGTACAACGATGAATCTCACAAACAAATTTCTCACGTAAAAAAAATACAATTCAACAAATCACCAAACTATTATTCCCTTTATTTCTTCTAATTTTCTACGGTCCTACGTACTTAGTTGCGTGATCACGATACCTCGATGATGTCTTGTTTTATAATTTGTGGGGGGTTGTTGGCGTCGAGAAGTGTCTCCAATGATCTGGTTTTCTTGTTCCGAGCCCTGCCGGCTTCTTTCAACAACTCGGACAACCTCCGCTTCTCATCCGCCACATCCGGATTTGCTGTTCCCAGCTTCTCCTCTCTCATGCCAACAACATACTCCAGAGTCTCAATGGCCGCATCCAACCTGTGTTCGTCACAAAAGTACAAAAGAGATTAAAGACCAAAAAGCATAGAAAAATACAGAACAAGCTTAAAGCATGCTAAATACTTTAACCCTCATTGCATTAGATTTTTTTTTTTTTAATCGAGCAATATTTTAATCTAATCTAAGACAGAATGAGAATGATGAATGCAAAAACAGGGAAGAACATATTACCTGCCCATTGCATCGTATGTGCCAGCCAAATTACTATAAACCCCTAATGTGTCAGGGTGATAAGGTCCATACTCCTTCTCCAAGATTTTCCTGGCTTCTTCAAACAAGTCTGCAGCCTCATTGATCGAGTAACGCTGAACGCAGGCTAGCCCCATTTGGTTGAGAGCAATCCCAAACAACGCCGATTTCTTTTCTCCTGTGGCACGGAACTTGGTTATGGAACTCTTGAATGTGCTGTAAGAGTCAGTAAAATTTCCCATCATATAGTACATTACCCCCATCTGAGCCTCAATTCCTGCACTTGTGCTCTGGTGGCCTGGAGCATCACCGAATATTTTCAAAGCCTTCTTGAGCAACTTCAGGGCCTGTTCCAGATCATTCATGGATTGATAGATTGCAGAAACATCAATGAGACCTCCAGCAATCTCTTCTGAGGGGATTCCGGGATTAGGTTTCCCATAAATTTGATGTGCATTTTCGCAGTATGATTTGGACTCCTTAAACTTTCCTATCTTGTTGTGCAAGTCAGCTAAACGAACATAAACAGAAGCTACCGCCGGATGAGTCTCTCCTTTCGTTGTCTTAAACACAGTGAGAGCTTTCTGGTAAGAAAACACCGCCTCATCATACCGTGCCAAGGATAGGTACGCGTCACCAATGCTGCAATCTATCGAAGCTGCATCCACTTCCTGATCATTGGCAGACATTGACATGTTTGCCAAAACATAATGCTCAAGAGCAGCTTCGAATTCTCCTTTTGAGTCACAGATTAGTCCCATGAGTCTTCTATCTGCCGCTTCCTCGAGGGAAGCAGAACCATTCTCCCTGTGGATTTCGAGCGCCATCTGACAAAGCTTCTGAGCCTCGTCGAATTGCAATGCTTGAACGTGCGCCTCTGCTACATACCGACATGTCTCACCCAATCGCAGGTCCTTGTCTCCCAAGACTTGCCTTTGAATTTCCATACCTGCTGTATAAAATAATATTGAGTTCTCGATCTGACCGGTCATTGCATAAATGTCACCTAATTGCATGCACCCTGCAAACTTGGCTAGTGCATAGTTATCGCCATCCTCTATCGCTGGAATGTCAATGGCGCGCTCAAGAACTGGAATCGCCTCATTGTACTTCCCTAAGCTGCAATATATTGCTGCCAAAACATGCAAACACATAACCAGCTCTAAATTGGGCTTCCCGCTCGTGCATTTCTCGAACAATTCCACTGCCCGGAGAGCTAACTTGAGCGCTTTCTTGGGGTTTTCGCCAGAAGAAATCAAATCCCTCGTTTGTTTGAGCAAATATGGCCCGAGGTCAAGGTTATTCAACCCCACCTCAGGAGGATGATCATCGACGCCATTCCGAAACCTCACCCCACCGCGTAAACCAAAACTCCTATGCTTGTTCTTAGACAATATCACATTGCCTTTTTTCGGATTCTTCCCATTCCTCTTATCAAGCGGAGGCTTCTCGTTAGTAGATTTGCTCTTCGGACTTGTTTTCGCAGATGGAGACT